ATCCTGAATGCCTTTAAGGTTGTGGGTGGAGATGAGCATTTAAGCTGCCAGATATGGTTAGCAACTAAAGACAGGCTTAACACAGGCCACCAGCTTATCTCAGTTGCGCGTGGCACTAGCCCACTGCTTCCCGTCGCTTCTCACATCCCCATGCTCTCTTCATTCGGATCCTCTGTCCTCTGTTGACAATCGTACAAGCGAACCAGACGCTGTGTTCTCCTAAGGTATCTTCCTTGGTGTCAAGCTTGCCGCGAGAGGCCCGGATAGCCGATCGGAGGCAAGTCTGGTGCATTGCGGCATTTTTCTTGTTATCTTAGCTACGGTCTACAAACCGAAAGTCACTGACGGCCACACCGGCTTCCTCCTCATTAGATCCTGGAGTCTCGACATCATAACGAGCTCCGATAACGACCTTTAATGTTCATCCTGTACAACCCAGTCAGTAACATCTTCTCTGCCCACCGCCGTGTGCCCAAGCACCGCCGGATGTAACACTCGAGCAAACTTGCACCACCGACTCGCGCTCTTGTGCCTGGGACGCGCAGAAGGGTAGAGAACGGATGGGCATCCCACCCCCAGACTGTTGATACCACCTTGCGGGACGCATCCAGCACCAACACCGGACCCCCCACACAGGCTCAAGATGGTAGGTCGGAAGGCCGCACGCAATCCGGACTCGAACTATTGGCCCCCGCCCGGGCTGCGCCGTTCCATCCGCCTCGTCCCAACAAGGAAGCTCGTGATACCCTTGGCAGCTCATCATCGATGACCCAACCTTCATCGGCATGCTTCCTCCGCGACGGCAGCTATATCCACGAGAAGAGGGGTCTCAAGCGGAAATTGCTTTCTGCTTGCTCAAGATAACCGCACCTTATTAGGACGCCAAGCCTGCACCTCTGTCGCTTCCCACCTGGCCATTCTCTGTCTTGGCTTGCATCGCCGAGCGACGCTTTGCAACTCTGCACTCTCCCCGCCATGCGACGATGTACGAACGCACCAAGGGTAGCTAGCTGCTTGCCACCAATGGCTCTATCCAATGGACATGATGTTGGATCCCCAGCATCACGTCTTTGGCCGGGGAGATGAGCTAGGTAGCTTCCTCGGCCTCATCTCGACCCTAGCTTCTTGCATGGCGAGTCGCTCACATGGGGCCATTGTCGTCTTTTGCCCAGAGGGGCTCCATACGCGCAGTCTGCTCAGCTCTCCGAGAGAGCATGAGGGTGGCTACTTAACTACCAAGGCTCCTCGCGATGCTTGGGGTTGAGCTCTATTCCGGTAGCTTTGCGCCCCGCGAATCTCCGTCGTCTGTCAGAAAGCCGGCAAGATGCGCATCTCGGCCACCGTCCCAGCTTTCGTCCTTACTCTCCACCTCGGTGGCGCTGCGGCACTTGTTCCTCGCCAGGAAGCCGGTGCCGACAGTGAGGTGATCGCCTATGTAGCCAAGAGCTTCATCATTGAATACGCTCCAGTGAGTGCCCGCTGCGAGGGCTGCCGCCCTAGGTTGTAGTCCCCAGCTGACACTCACCGTCTTCTAGGGATCCAGTGCGCGTCGTCGTCGCCAGAACGTCGCATCTACCGACGGCATCACGGTCGTCAAGGAGTTCGCCAGCGATGTGTTCTCCGGCGCCAGCATCGAGACTGAGACTTATACGCTCGACACTCTCGTTGAACTCCCCGACATCCTGAACGTCTGGCCAAATGAGCAGGTCAAGCTTGGGCCGGTAGAGCCCCAGGCTGTCGCCGTTGAAGAGGCACCGGCTTATACCACTCATAACGCCACTGGCGTGACCAAGCTTCACGCCCAGGGTATCTTCGGCAAAGGCGTCAAAGTTGGTGTCGTCGACACCGGTATTTACTATGACCACCCCGCGCTCGGCGGAGGCTTTGGTCCTGGTTTCAAGGTTGCTGCCGGTTATGACTTCGTCGGTGATGGTCTGTACCCACAAAGCGGACCCAAGGCTCCCGATGAAGATCCCAAGGATACTCGTGGCCACGGAACTCACGTCGCTGGTATCATCGCCGGCAAGAATGATCTGTAAGATATGCATCATCCTGTATGGTATGGGCCGGACTAATTGGCTATAGCTGGTCTGGTGTTGCTCCCGAAGCGACGCTTCATGCGTACAAGGTCTTCTCTAACGCCGCCTCTACCGATTCCGCCACTCTGATTGAATCTTTCCTCGCTGCCTACGACGACGGGGTTGATGTCATCACCGCCAGTATCGGCGGTACCAACGGATGGTCTAACAACGCCTGGGCCGAGGTTGCTTCCCGTCTCGTTGACGAGGGTGTCGTTGTCACCATCTCCGCTGGCAACAGCGGATCTGCTGGTCCTTTCTATGGCAGCTCTGGCTCCTCCGGCAAGAATGTTGTTGCCGTCGCCTCCATCGACACGGAGGTCTTCCCGGCGATCCCCTTCGAAGCCACTTTCGGTGACTCCGACACTCGCCGCATCGGCTACCTCCCAGCTGAGAGCTACTTCCCCAGCACCATCACCGACTGGCCCATCGTTGCTCTCAACACAAACACCGAGGACCCCGCTGATGGCTGCGAGCCCTACCCTGAGGGCAGCCCTGACTTGACGGGCAAGATCCCCTTGGTCCGCAGAGGAACATGCACGTTCCAGACCAAGCAAGAGAACCTGGCCGCTCTTGGTGCCAAGTACATACTGATCTACAACAATGCTTCCCCCATGACTACACCTGGTACTAGCAACACTAACTCTGAAATTGCCTTGATCAGCGCCGATTCTGGCGTCTCTATTATCGAGGCTATCAAGGCCGGAACCAACGTCACTGCTGACTTTTCCAACAACCCCGAAGCCCCTGTTGCCCTGGATTACCCTGCCGGCAACCGTCCCAACACTTTCACCAGCTGGGGTCTTCTCTGGGACAACCAGCTGAAGCCTGACGTCGCCGCTCCTGGAGGCAACATCTTCTCGACCTATCTCGACGGCAGCTACGCTATTCTTAGCGGTACGTCGATGGCTTGCCCCTACGTTGCTGGAGTCGCCGCCCTCTACATCAGCCAACACGGTGGCCGTAGCGTTCAGGGCAAGGGTTTTGCTCGGGCTCTCTCCCGCCGTATCATCTCCAGTGGCTATGCTCTACCTTGGTCTGACGGTACCGCTACCGACTACGGCTACACTGCTCCCCCAGCCCAGGTCGGCAACGGCATGATCGACGCCTGGAAGGTCCTCAACTACGACACCCAGCTTGAGTTCGAGAAGATCCAGCTCAATGACACCCGCTACTTCAGCCGTTACCATGATGTTACCGTCACCAACAACGGCGACTCGGACATTACCTACAAGTTCTCTGTCCAGCCCAACGCTGGTGTGGACGCCCTCGCCTGGATTCCCGCTTCTGGCGGTCTTCCCGGCACCAAGCGCGTCAAGACTTTTGCCCAGCTGTCTCCCAAGACATATACTCCTGACATCAGCCTGCCCCGCGACTTCACCCTGAAGGCCGGCGAGACCAAGACCGTCTCTGTCAACTTCAACAACCCAGACAACCTCGGCTGGAACACCACTGGCCTGCCTCTGTACGGAGGCAAGGTCCTCATTCAGGGCAGCAACGGTGAGCAGGTGTCTGTTCCCTACGCCGGCGTTGGAGCTGATCTCCGCAACACCCTCGGTGGTGTACACGAGGCAGGATGGCCCATCTCCGTCTCCACAACTGAAGAGATCGACATCAGCGAGAAGGCCTCCTACACCTTCGACCTCAGCACCGGCGCCCAGGACTTTCCCAAGATCTTCCAGAAGCTCCTCTGGGGATCTCGCCAGGTTCGTTGGGACATCTACGAGGCAGGCTGGACTGAGCGCCAGTGGACTTACCCTCCCGTCGTCGGACAGAACGGCTACATCGGATCCGCAGCTTCCTGGGTTGGCTCTGGCGAGGTTGAGGTCTTCGACCCGGAGCAGTACGACCCCGACGAGACTTTCACCTACCCCATCACTGACATCTACCGCAACACGGCCGCCAGCTACCACGAGCACTGGTGGTTTGGCAAGCTGGGCAACGGTACCCAGATTGCTCCTGGCAACTACACCATCCGCTTTGCGGCGCTCCGGCCATTCGGCAACCCTACGCATGCGGACAACTGGGATGTCTTCAAGACCCCGCAGATCCAGGTTCTGGGACAGTACTAGATTAGCGCGCGGTGGAATGTAGTAAGACGTAATCACGGATACATAATATGATCTGGTAATAGCATAATGTAAACAGTCCATCCAATTATTCCATGTGCGGCCATACCCGTAGGCAAGCTATCAGAATTTTCGGTGTCATTATCCTCGTCCGTGGAATCCCAGCCAGTCAATCCGTGGATAATTTTGTGTCACTTCTATGTAGCTCCGACGAACGTATCACTCCGCATTGGATCTGGGAACGATACGATGCGCAAGTCGACCTCCAAAATCGCGCATCTTCTGAAGGCGGATTGTGATGCATGACGCTACTTCAGCGATCTACGCAATGGAGCAATGATTCGCCTGCTTAGAGCTCAAACATACGTCGCTTCAGCAACGAGGTATCCACTTCGCGAACATGCGTGCATATATCGCACATATTGTTGCCTGTAGGTAGTAAGACTGGAACGGCCATAACCTGATCTCGGAGCGGGGAGAGGGGTCTCACGGCCCGCGCCGCAGCCATGCGGGATGTTACTCGGGAAGCGAGGGGCCGGGGGTCGAATATGGGCTGAAGCATACGTCAGTCAGATCAAGCTGGCCTTACATGAATTCGATTCTATGCATGTGAAAACGCGAGAGGGGAACTTTCATTCGATCTTGGAAAATGGACAGACCATGCAATCAATGGTGTTGGAGCAACCCTTCCGCACATTATGAGTGTTTATAAGACACCCATGGGTCCTCGCAAATGATCATCGAACAAGCCCCAAGACGTCTGTGCCATTCAGCTACATTGGCACCCGGAACCTTTCAATAGCCTGTGGCTTCTATGCTTTTCTAGCTGAATAGGACCCATTCAGTGTAAAAGATGACGATCGAAGAGCGACCTGACCAGTTCACCAACACCCGCAAAGCCGACTTCAACTCGATCTATAACCAATCAGATCCAAGAGCATACTTCAAGGCTCTCACTCCACTTCAGTATCAAATTCCACAACAAGCACTTCCGTTCGTGGAGCGAATCCTCGATGTCTCTTCGCCTTCGAAAAGTGATGAAAATGTCAAGCCTCGTAAAGTTCTCGACGTGTGCTGCTCGTACGGAATAAACGCCGCCCTCCTCCGCTACGACCTCACACTCGATGCGCTATCAGACCATCTCGCATCTTCTCCCAAACAATCCGGCCGGGAACAGATTATCTCCGACAAGCGTTTCTTCGCATCCAAGCTCATCCACCCGGAGATCGAAGTCCTAGGTCTCGACATTGCTCCTGAAGCAATTGCCTACGCGGTGAAGACGGGCCTGCTGAAAGATGGATGGGCAGAGAATCTCGAGACATCTGACCCATCACTCTCACTGCACGAGGGATTAAAAGACGTTCAGGTGGTAGTTTGCACCGGGGGAGTGGGCTATGTTGGCGCGGACACCTTCTCACGCATTGCTGACGCGGTTAAAGATTCTTCGAAGCTGTGGATGGTGACATTTGTGCTCAGAGTCTTCTCGTTTGATGGGATTGCGGACGTCTTGGAGGAGAAACATGGTCTCGTGACAGAAAAGGTTCCCGGAAAGTTTTTCCGTCAGAGAAGGTTCACGTCAAGGGAGGAGCAGAGTGCTGCCGTCGCTGACGTGAGAGCAAGAGGTTTGGATACAATGGGACTAGAAGAGGATGGATGGTTTTACGCGGAATGCTACGTGACGAGGCCGCGGGCCTGCGATTCCGACTTGGTGATATCCAGGGCAAGTTTTGGCACATTTGAGTGTGCTTTTTGCACCATGGGATAGATGGGATGAATGTTGCATGTCAACACAAAAGACACTCTCAAGCATGAAAGTTGACTTGATATACACGAGTGCTATGTGCTTTTCTAAAATATGTACTCAACAGTTGGGTAATATGTACCGGATGAAGATGTCAAATTAATGAGGCCCAGCCTCTGTACCGCACGTCCTCAACTTACGCCACGATGGCGATGTCGATGCAGCTTTCGTAGGTCTGCTTGTTGGTCTCGGCGTACCAGAACCACTGGATAGCGCACTTGCCACCAACGTTGCAGGAGTCGGCCAGGGTATCGGGGATAGTGACGTTGAAATCGGCTACACCCTCAATTAGTACATGACGTTACTCCCCGTGAACATTGTTTCGACTTACTATCAGCAAGGGGGTCAGGGTTCTCGGTCGGCCAGTCGTCCCAGGTGATGAGAGGCTCACCGATCGCGGTGTTTGTCGCGAGGTCAATGACGGAGATGTTCTGAAGTGGGTTAGTATGCCGTCAAACATCAACTAGGGTGCGGATACGTACGGCGTGGCCTGGTCTGTGGCCGGCGACAAGGTCGATGTGGAAGGGAATGACCTGTCCAGCAGTGACGTTCATAAGGAGGTCCACGTTATCCTCCCATTGGTATCCACGGCACATGAAGGCATTGCACTTGTAGTCGGCGTCGGCAACTGCGATGGCGTTCTCGATGGGTCCGGCAAGATCGCTGTCGAGCTTGTTGGTGACTGCGGTACCGCAGAGCTCTTCCTGCTTCGTTCCGGTCTGTCGATCAAAGGTCAGTTCGGAGCCGGTATGATATGGCGATCGGATCCGGGGCTTACCGTGCGAGGCTCCGGGGTCTGGACGACGCCGTGGCCCCAGACGCCGGTGACCAGAGCCGCAATGACAGCTTGAGTGAACAACATGTTGCAAGTCTTTTGGGTTTCGGAAAACGTGCCGATGAGTGACGATTGCGTAAAAGCAGAGTGCCGGTTTCCCGTCCCTGGGCAGAAAAAGAGGCGGTTTTAAAGAATCAGATACAAAAATCTCCTAGAGCCCGATTGGGACGTGTTTCGCGGGTAGAGATTAAAGGCGGCAGATGGATCGACAGGAACTGTTCCTCCGCCGTTGTTTAATTCATCGCATACGCGTGGCACCCTCTATTCCCGGTGATTTCTCCACAAATGGCAGGGCAAGTGCCGCCAATTAAGCCCCTGATACAATTAACTTGCGGCACCGCGGCTTGCGCTGTAAACAACCAAGAAACCCACCAAAGCCCCTGGCGGAACCGCAAAATGAAAAGAAAACATGCAGCAATTGGTGGAGTTTTCGAAGAGTTGGCACCGATTGACTGGATCTCGAATGCAACAAAGGGAGGACCAAATCATATGGAAAAGGGGGTTGAAACTGGGATCATATTTCTTGACGCCAAGAAACCAGATTCGGACGAACTGGCCAGGTGAATGTTTGGAGCTCCATACATGTGAGCGTAACATATGACCGCTTCACTTGGACGACATCCGAGACAGTTGAACCGGCTTCAAAGATCTATGGATGCGATGATGGTTTGTGTAAGAGTCTTGCGTTACACAGTCTCGATAGGCCTCAGGGCAATCTTAAACGTAATATCAAAAGAGAAGGCCTGGACTTACATAGTATAATTCCATGTACGAGACAGGCGAGCTGCGCTGCTGCTCAGCCTGCGCACGCGGTGTGAGGTCACTAACTATTTTCACTGAAGGCCTCACCCACGCTGCGGGTACGCTATCCGGGGCCTGAACGGAAGTATGCCGATTTCGTGGCCGCACCCTCGAGTCGCATTTATCACACAGCCTAGGGCCACCTACAGTGGATAAACCCTTAAAAGGCCGCGGTGTGGTCAATCCAAAAAAAAAAAAAAAAAAAATCGTCTTGTTCTTTCGTTGGGTCGACGGAGTGTAGAGATCTCGGTACACTGCGGAACAATAGATCAGCCAGGGCGCGATGGAAAGATTAGCGCTTGAGTACCTAAATGTACCTACCTGCTAGTACATCATGATGAATAATCCCATCGCCAGACACGCCAGCAAAAGACGGAAGTTCAGATAAGATTGTTTCCTTTCCCCGCATTTGAATACTAACTCGTCAGCGCAAGGCATCAATCCAGCAAAGCATCAATTGCGACGACTCTATCCCTGGAAGACCTGGGCAACAAATATGCCTGTCCCTATCCCACCTGAATCTCGCTTCATCCCGAACAACGTCCGGGAAGGAGAGTATCTCACGTTCTCGGGTGCTTCGGAAGCCCTCATTCATGAAGCGCTAACGCATGTCCTCGTCGACACGCCGCCACTAGCTGAATACTCAAATGACCAATGTCGTGGTCTCTTCCGGGGCCCTACATCACTCACCTTTTTGCTACTGAAGCTCAGCGCGCAGTATCCGTCCATGCAAGTACAAGATCAGTTGCTCAGCCACTGGGCAAGCCTCTATGCATTGGCCAAGCGCCCCGGAGAGAACTCTGCCCCTTGCGGTCTAGCTTGTGAAAGCGTTGCACTCTTAGCTGTTCAGACAATGATGGATGAGGCCAATGCTCCTGCATTTTGCAGTGAGCTAGACCGACTAGTTGCTGAAGATCATCCCTTCGAGCTACTGTTTGGCTATGCTGGACTGCTATACATGATCCGCGCGGTTGAATCATGGGTAACTAAGTTCCGCACACGCTGAAGACCTTCAACTGACCTGGAGACAGAGACCCGAAGTCGCATCCTCTCTGACTCTCGTCAAAGCCCGGATGGTGGAGAAAACTCTCGGGGCCGGGCCCGGGTGGGTCTTTCGGGGCAAGCGCTACATCGGCGCCGTGCACGGAGACATCGGCATTTTGACCCAGCTCCTCTTGACAGACCCGAAACTTGCTAGCAACTCGATGATCAAAAGTTCTCTGAGACGGCTGCTAAGTCTTCAGCGAGAGGATGGCAACTGGACGACCAAGGATGACGATGACATTCGATACGAAGGTCTTGTTCAATTTTGTCACGGGGCTCCAGGGTTTGTGGACTCTTTAGTGCACATCCGCCGCCTTTTCCCGGATATGCACGACATCATGGATGAAGCCATTGAACGCGGACAACAGGCAGTATGGAATATGGGCTTGTTACGCAAGGACCCCTGCATTTGCCATGGGATTTTGGGCAACGCAATGTGAGTATCCATCTTCTCATTCTGCCTTTACATCAAGATTGTGTTGACCAAACCAGGGTACTTCCTCCCGGGCCACGGAGAAGCCACTTTCTAGCGTGGGCCTTGCCGTCGACTATTGAAGAGCAGCGGCAAGAGGACGAAACCCTATTCGTCCCAGAGAGTCCCCAGAAGATGTCGGCATGGTTCAACTATTGGCCTGGCGTGGCATGGACGTGGTCTCAGTACGCAAAAGAGATACCCGGGGTAATTCTATATTCCGAAGTCTAGTGGCAGGCTTTCGTGTGTAGTTTGAATATCATGGCATGATTGTCTTTGTTCGACGCCACGATGCTGAACATATTGCTGAGTTATTTCGAGGCACCCTTCCTCGACTCAGACGGTCGAAGTGTCCACGACAGCCGCGTCATGGTTCTTCTCTTGCGATGGAAGATTGACGATGAGAAGGTACAGAACGTCCTGCAAAATGTTTTAGTGGTGTGTTCTTGGATTCCGCAACCGTTGTGCTGTAGCACTTACCTTTTGGAATAGACTCTTGATCATGTCATCGATAGTTCCAGCTGGCCCAGCCATCTTCTCTTCTTCAGCGGCTTTCTTAAGCCGTTTCTCTTCCGCTTTCTTTTCCTTTTCTAAAGCCTTCTCATTCTCTACTCTCATGCGCTTTTCTTCGTCTCTGACCTTCTTCTCTCCCTTTTTCTTTTTCCTTGCCTGTTCTTCTCGCATCTTCTTTTCGACCTCAGCTGCTTTTTCCACTTCTTTCCGCCTCCTCTTTTCTTCTTTCTGCATGTCCTTCAGTGTGAGCGGCCCAATGAAGATACTTCCGTTGTTCTCCGTTGATTCTTTTGACTCGTCAACATGCTGCTCCTGTTTCACCTGTGGTTGAAAATGTGTCCCCGACTCCGTCGTGCCCTTCGACGGTCCGGTCTCTGCTTCTGCAATCTTAATCTTCTTTTCATCTTCGATCTTGTTATTGTTTTTTGCTGCATCCAAATCGACATTTCCCTCAGAAACAGTCTGTTTGCGCTTGTACTGCCACCGCCCTCCAGTGACCAGGGCGACAACGTCTCCGCTGGCGGCTGGGTGAGTCGGATCAGCGTATCGTGATTTGAATTCAGCTTTAGGTAGCGCCTTGGCTGCCGAGAGTTCTGGATTTTCGTTTACCCATTCGACTTGAGCTCTCTTATCCATGTAATCGTCAAGCCAAATCTCCGCCCGATCAAAGCCATTCTTCTTCTTTTGTCCATCTCCGCCTTCTACCAGTACCAGCTCGTTAGGTGCCGGGAACACAAGGGGTGCTGGGTCGGACCAATCGAGGATGTGGTCATGAGATTTCAACCGCTCTCCTAGTAGTTTCTTAATGCGGCCCAACTTCTCGTTCTCAGATGAGTTTGGCTCCGAAGATACTTTTTCGCCGTTTGATAATTCAACGGAAGGAGTTTTACCAGCTGTCTTACATCCGAAGTCGACAGGCACCTCCCCAGAAATGTCGTCAGGTCTCCAAGTTGCAACAAAACACATGAGACCCCGCGGCCTAAAGAAGTCCGCGTTCATCCGGTCTAGGAACTTGTTGGACTTGAAGCGACTTTGACCTTCCATGACGCCTTCAACTGCGATACCCAGCAAGATCCCAAAGGCTGTCAGAGCAGGATCCGGTGCAATGATGTCGGCAAGCCCAGCGAGGTTGATGGCATAAAGGTAGGGATTCGGTACCAAGGACTTGTTGAGGGTGTCGATGAAGTCCAAGAATGCGTCCTCGTCGATACCCGCGGCAGCAAGAACCGGAGCATAGGCTCTTACAAACCCCCGAACTCTTGTCTTAGGTCGTCTTTGAGGCAAGACGACGGGCATCGTGATTCCGCTTTTGATGTCAATGCCTTCATCAGATTTGATAGGATGTCTGTTGAGAAACGCAGTAGCTAGGTCGGTCGACTCTTTCACAGGCTCGCAGCCCCCATCTTTGTTGTTGCCAGTATTGAAGCCAAGTTGTGTCCCAGAACCGAATTCAACCTCGTCAAGATCCCAAATGGCTTCATGCACACGTTCGCAGTGGGACTCTTGTCCTAATTCTGGGGACCTCGGCTGTTCTTGTGAGGCCTCTGGGCGTTTGCGATCTCGTCGATAATGTGCGGCTTCCGAAAAGAAGCCAATACCCGAGGCTGAAGCTCTCGCAATGTCATCGACTATGTCGTCTCGTTTGGGGATGGTGCCGCTCGTTCTGACAAACGCCTTGTCGCGCTCGCGAACAAGTTGTTCAACAACACCGGAGGTCGCCTTGGACCAAAGCTCTTTTCCATCCTTCAAAAGCCCGGAGCTCATCGTGCTTAGTGCAATAGCATACACGTAGAGAGTTTTCAATGCAGGTTGGAACGTTGAGTGCCAAGAGATCGTCCCTAACGGAAGGGGGGAGGGTCAGAATGATGGTTGTGTCTGAATTACCTTTAGAAGAGCCGGTAAAACTCAGTAAGTGATGCAGAGGCTCACTATACCGATGGGCGGTAGAGCATGTATATATAGATGGGTCGTAATTTCAATCACGCAAATCGTGGCACATGCCTACTCTCGCACTCGCATCTGCTGCGCAAGCCTTTTGTGGCAAGGGTTCAGCTGTGCTTGGCATGTCAGCAGCCAAGCCGACCATGCAGTTCCGCGGAGAGCGAGATCTTGGCATGTATCTTGGTAACTAAGCTCTGCACCCAGAAGATTTGACACAGAAAACATTTCCGCACCTCAATCTTACTTACGGGAGACAAACAGAAAGGGCTGCTGACGACCGAAAGGGAAGCCTGGTAACACGATGTGGGCCCATAATTCAGCACACAGTAAGGTAGGTACGGAAACACGCAATTAATTCAAGGACCTGTTCGTAAGAATTCAAATCCAACACGTCGATACATCAATGTCGAGCATGGGAGATTTATATCAGATATAAAAAGCAATTTACCATGAAATTTCCGGCCAGGTATCTCCATCATCAAGGTGTAGAAATGAACTTCATCCCCTGTACAACGGGCATCCAGTGCCAACCCAGGATCGAGTACGCCAATGTCGGCTGACCAGAGTATCTCCACTCCCAGTAGCGATCTACAGCAGGGATCATCCGGCGTTGTGGCAGAGTGGTCTAATGCGCAAGACTAGAAATCTTGTTCCTTCGGGAGCGTCTGTTCGAATCAGGCCAACGTCGAATTCTTTTTTGCAAATTTAACTACACAACTGGTGGTGGTTGTGGACATAATGACACTCTGTCCTCTACCCACCATCAAAACAGCACCCATGTCAAGGTGCCAGAGTGGTTAATGGGCTGCCCTGCTATAAAGGTCTGACTTCGGTTAGCATTCTAGCTGTCTAGGCAGTGGCTTCGGTCGCGCAGGTTCGAATCCTGTCCTTGACGTTTCATTTTTTGCATTCCCTTCTTGTTTAAGTCACCGAATTCCAGTCGGCTCTTCAATTGGAACATATCCTAGCGGGACTAATTGTACCGTTTTCAACGCACAAACTGGTCAGCGAACGCCGCCCTAAGCCCGACCTCCTCATAATGCTTTTTGGCCTTGTCGAGCTTGCTGAAAACATCCTCCATACCGATAGGCACTCCATCTGGGTCAACGTAAATGTGCGCCCCCGTTACATGAAAGATTGTGACTATTTCCTTCACATCGTCCGGTACTTCGAGCGTGTGAATATCTCCCAGAGGCTCAAAAGCGTAGCCTCCCTCAGTGGCCCACCAAGGATGCTCAAGGTAGTGCCATCTGCCTTTCAAGACAGTTGCATGAACAGCGCCGGCGTGGCGATTTCGAGAGAGGATGCCAGAGCGGCGGACGCGAATAATGTTGACAAAGTAGCCTCCAGAGACGGAAAGCAGGAGCGGACGGAACCAGATCCCCGGGGCCTACGGAACCCAAAAACGTTCGTCACATTCGATGTCAAAAATGCCGGTAATGACCAGACCGTCAGGAACCGCAGGAAGGCGAGGGCCGCGGTATGGCACAGCGGCTTGATCGGGGCGATCTTCTGCCTTAGGTTCTGTAGCGGTTTGTGTCGTGGTTTCCATGACCGTCGTTCTGGACAACAAAGGTTTAATGACGATATTGAAGAGGTGAGCTTAATAGACTGAGACGAGATGGTCCTGACGTGATATTTGAAGCACTTGAGTAAATGCTGATACTTGACTCTGTGGGGTGCATCCAATAATGCGGAGAGATTGGAGATATGTCGGGGTTTGATATGGATGGATGAAGATCAACTGGACCCTTGCTAGGACGGGACACGCAAGCCAAACCGGAGTTGAACGTAGTGAAATCCTCCTGCAGCCATGATCCAAGATGTCTCGATTGCCAGCCATGCAGGATAGCTCATGGGAAGTTCCTTCCAACATTGCGGTTCTTGCCATAATTTGCAATGCCCGATACCAAGGACGGAGAAGTATGAAGGGCGTACCTTATCCTTGGTCAAGAGCCGACACTATTAAGACCTACCATATTCGTCTGAGTCAGTCTTGGTCTTACTTGACTTGTTCACTCCGCGGAGGTATTCTCACATCAAAGCCTGTCATCCCACTGACAGCCCTTCCTTCTCAACTATCGTATTTGTGGCATACCCAATGAGTTTCGAGTCCAAACCCATCCGCGTTGACATTCACTGATATTTTCTCCTTCACTGTCATATAGTATTCCAACTCATTCTCTGTTCCCTCGCAAACAATGGAAACGACATTAGAGGAGGGTGTCGTCAAGAGACCCCTCGGAAGCGACAGCTCACAGCCTGAGAAACACGAAGAGACACTTGGAAGCGTCAAGAGCCTCCAAGATGGCGCCCAAGGGCCAGAAAGAAACGAGGAAACCCATCGCGGTTTCAAGCCTCGCCACTCGCAAATGATCGCCATCGGCGGCGCTATCGGCACCTCACTTTTCCTACGCACAGGTCAGGTCTTACGCGTTGGTAGTCCAGGATTTCTCCTGGTTTCATACGGCATTCTCTCCATCTTGGTTTACGGTATTGTGACCGGAATCGCAGAGGTCGCAACCTATCTGCCTGTGCCTGGAGGAACCATTAGTTACTATGGGAACAAGTACGTCTCCCGTAGCCTCGGCTTTCCGATGGGGTATCTCTACTGGTACTCGCTCGGAATCTTGGTACCCTATGAGCTTGTTGCCTCGACGCTCTTAATCGACTTCTGGAATTCTCCTGTCAACCCAGCTATCTGGATTACCGTCATCCTCATCATCATTATGACCCTCAACTTTCTTCCGGTGCGCTTCTTCGGGGAAGCTGAGTTTTGGAGTGCCGGGATGAAGATCCTCCTGATCCTTGGTCTCGTTTTCCTATCGATCGTCCTGTTCTTTGGTGGAGGCCCAAATCATGATAGACTGGGGTTCAGGTACTGGAAAACCCCTGGTCCAGTAAACACCTACCTGGAGGGAGGCGACATTGGTCGTTTTGTTGCCTTGCTCCAGTCCTTCGTTCTGACTTCGTTTGCCTTCATCCTAGCCCCGGAGCAACTCATCGTCACAGCTGGTGAGATGCAGTTACCAAGACAGAACTTGCCTCGAGCTGCAAGACGCTATTTCTGGCGGCTGATTATCCTTTTCATGCCGACTGTCATAGGCATTAGAGTTGTATGTCCCTCTAACGACCCAAGGCTGAGCGCTTCCGGGACCGCAAGTTCTCCTTTCGTCATTGCCATTCGCAACGCTGGTACTCCTGTATTGGATAGCATTGTCAATGCGTTGATCCTTCTTTCGGCGTGTACGGCGGGCAACGCGTTCTTGTACTCTGCATCCAGGAACCTCTACTCTCTGGGAATTGCCGGAAATGCCCCGGCTATATTCAAGAGATGCAACAACTACGGTCTGCCCTATTTCGCCGTAGCAGCCAGCGCGAGTTTCAGCCCCCTCGCATACCTCAGTCTCTCGAGCACTAGCCTCATTGTCTTCAACTGGCTCATTAACATCACCAACTCCGCTGGCTTCATTAGCTGGATTTGCTGTGGGGCGATATACTTCAGGTATCAGAAGGCAATTGAGTTTCACGGAGTTGAATCTCCCTAGCGATCGCGCTCGCAGCCGTGGGGAATGTGGGCGGGGACAGTTGGTACGGTATTCCTGATGCTTATCAACGGTTTTCAGGTGTTCCTCCCGGGGCAGTGGTCTGTGGGAGATTTTGTGACCGCCTATATTGGTATTCCAGTGTTTCTGGCGATATATCTGGGCCATCGGTTCTATTATAGTCAAGATGCATGGCTCAAGGAGCCTGGTGAAATCGACATGACTGAGGGCTTGCAGGAGATCTTGGCTGCAGAGCGGCCAACTCCAGCCCGAGGAAAGGTTTCTGGAGTTCTTCACGCCTTGATCGAATAGGCAGCTCTCTTAAGCCGTTAAATACACAGAGAAAACAAAACCAATATCTATGCTTCACTGTGTTCCTCAGTCTAGTATCACGACGTCGGGAGCTTTGGAAAGTGTTTTTCTGGGCCTTGAATAGGCCATCTTGTATTTCTTATGGTCATGAAACTACAATCATCCCAGTCAGATAACACCAGTCCCGGTAGCTCTCAATTCGGCTTGAGGATGAGCCTTCGGTACGTAACTAAAGGCATATCGCCGTTGTCAGTAACGGACAGGATAAGGTGCATCGTCTGCCGCAAAATCTTGTCAGCTTGGTCTTCAAATGTTAATTGCAATTGATTTCTTACCTGGTTCCGTTGAGGCTCAACGGCGACAATGCTACCTTCGGAGTTCAGGCCAGTGATGTTGAGATTGTTGCTAACGAGCGGGATACTGAACCCTTCAAGACCCCTTGCACCGGCCTCGCGGTAGTGGAACCACTCGTAGTGCAGCTCATCATTGTCTGGGTCCCAGCTTTCGGAAGCGTCGAAGACGATTTGGTCGCCAAACTTGTAAGGCACTTCTGTTGCCGCTGGTCCGCAAGATCCGTTCACGACGACAACAGGCTGATGATTGTTCTCGTCAAAGTTGCCATTGATTGTCCACTGCATGCGCGCAGCAAAGTCGTATTGATACGCTTCTCTCCATCTCCAAATTGTCGCGAACCTGCTGGAATATGCCTTGCCATCCGCGCCTTCCACGTAGTCTGCGGTGTCCGAGTACACTGAGCGGTGAGCGGCAGTGGGTGCATCAACTTGTACGTAACGGCCACCCCAGCTTCCCCACTCCGGGTGGTCAATATCACCCAATCCGTTCTGGACCAGAGTGAGGAAGGCAGGGGTGTCTCCCTCCATGATAAATGACCAGTTGAGATAATGCGCCCCAAGAGGACCAATCCGGATACGCTGTTGTAGCCATTCGTTGGAGACGATGGCCGAATCAGGCCCACCAACGTCGAAGTGCCGGTATTCCTCTCCAGAGATGCCGATCCAAGTTGGCTGTGTGTATTCACTCCATCCGTGAAGCGAAACAATATAGAACAAGGCGGGGTATTGAGCTCGAATCCATGATCCGGCATCGTCTTGAACCGAGACGGAGTAGACCCTTAGTTTGCTGACGAAAGATTCTACCGCAGCTTCGTCGCGAGTGTTTGAGACATGCTGAAGAGTCTCGGCCAAAACGGCGGCACCGCCCCAGACAGAGACCCAAAGAGCGGCATCTGAGCCATCGGTCGCCTTCACGAGATTGGCAGCAGCGTCGCTGAGGGTTTTGGCCTTTAGAACCTCAAGTCCATATACGGGGTGAGCAGAAGAAATCTTTGAGAGGATCTCTTCAGTCGATGGATACGAAGCATCAGCGGGAGCGTTCGCACTGAGGTTATCAACGACTTGTCCATAGCCGTCTTGGACAACCTCGCGGATGGTATCGGGGTCCGTACGACTTGGGAGCCATGTTGATGTAGTTGCAGCAATGCCTTGGATATCGAACTCATTGGCGTAGGTGAGGAAACGAACCAGACTCATTTGGTCGTCAGGCTCATTGCTCATATCTGTAAGAACAAAAACACGAGGCTTGCTTCCATATCTGGAAGATTCACACTTCTTCTCCTGTGCCAGAGAGAGACCATAGACGAGGAAAAATAGGGCCCAAAGAAGGGCTTTCGAAGTATGAGTCGCCATTTTCGACACAGAGCCAGGAAAAGACTTCTCAAAGTGAAGGTTTGCTTGGGGTTCATGCCATTTTTATCTGTGTCTTATTTATGCTAGAATTGCCATCGGAATCAACACTTGGCGAGTTCTTCGAGTTGCCTCATTCACTCCAAATGAAATCATGAGGGATGCAATTGCCCAAAAGAAAGCCAAAAAATACACGTAAAGCGATACTTTCAAATCGGGGAGTCTCGGCCACTGAATTAGTGAGCCAAGCGGTCACCATTCAGTGACTCGGGTGGTTAGAGCCCACAAATTAAGAACAGCCTGCAGTAGGGCTTGGAAAATCTGCAATTGATGGAGGGGTTGGATTGGACTTTTCCACTTGTTTCCCCGAATAAGACGTGATTTGGGTACTCTCACGAGTTTCTCCACATAGATCTGCACTTCTCGTGTCCCGAGTGATGACAATGTTGCATTTCCCCACGATGCGGTGTCCCCAAACAAGGTAACGTGCGGGGTACCCCGGGACAACAATTACGGAGACGGAAGAAAGGGCGGAAGAAAAGCGCTTAACATTGCCCATACTGGTCATATCGAGGTAGCTTGAGCACACGAGAAAATCCCTCGCTGACCCCGCATGCTAAGATGTTGTCGACGATGATGCAGTCTTTACTCCTTCGTCAAGCTCTGGGAGACGGGGATTTGGGGAGCTTGCCATCGTGAACCCGTTGCTTACTGACTTTTGAATTGTTAATTGCCGGGTGATGAATTTCCACAAGCCAGTCACGTTCATAATGTTGAAATGCAAAACATGTGGGTTCATTACCAAGACAAACCCCTTTCTGTAGGGCTGGTTGAAGCATCACAAGTTTACTACCAGTGGCAGTTGACGCGTAATCGCCAAGGCGCCTACCCGCTAATTACTACTACTGCTATGAGTACCGACTGATTGTGCTGAGAGTAGCCTCATCGCAAAACCCAGTCTGCCGGATATGACCTTTCTTCACTATTTGCATAGACAAGAACTACTGCCTTAGAGTGCCGTTTAGCCGAACGGCAATGGCATCGATGGTATCTTGCTAACCTGTTGGGCGCAGAGAACATCCTCTTCCGCGTAAGCCAGCCAATCAGCGACAGCGAATCTCCATGCTGGCCTCATGAGCCGCAATCAATCTCGCGGGGGTGGCGTGTGTCTGGTCGCAAAGCAATCAATTAAGCGATGTTCGCCGTCCGACGCGCAGTCGCAGGGTCTCACGATGGATCTTTAGCGCAATCAGGGGCAGACCAGGAACTGTCTCAATAGCATTGACCTAATTGTCGTCGCTCGCGGAGCTGAAAAGTGAGTTTCCTGATTGTAAAGCGGGGACTCTGGCTAAGCTTAAATGTTCCGAGGGCTTGGTAACGACAAGGACCGGCAGCCTTTGGCATATGTCATGCATGCACGTAGTTTCTAACTTTTGGGGTTGAGTCTTGGGTAGTAGCTCCTTTTTGGCACTCTTATCGGAACAGATTGAAGCCATTGGCGCATGACTGCTTACGAAAATTCAAGTCGTCGTCGGCTGGGAATTCGGTGCTTCGCTCTTTTCCCCAAAAGTTGTTGCAACAGAGAAATATGGGCCAGATCCTATGATCATCACCGGCAGTGACAGACTTGACATGCCGAGTGCTGGCCTCGCGTGGCACCAAAGCCGACATGGCGTTCAAAACCGGCCTATTGTCTTGGCAAGTAAGCTTAACGCAGCTTGGCTCAAGTTGGCGGCTGCAGCTAGACCCGAGATGGTTCAAGTTGTTGTTGGACACACGGCAGCCCGCAGATTGCGTTCTTCGTGCACTGCCGTTGATTTCTTCGCGTGGAGATTAGGGGGCGTTTTGGCTAGCTCCAAGGCCTCTCATCGCCTTGTTGGCGCCGCTGCCACTCGTGGTGACAAGTTGGGCTGTGAGGGGCTGCCCCAAAGAGGAAAGGCTCTTCACAAGGAACTGAGCTGGGCCCAACGATCAAGCTACAGGGCGGGGAAGCTTCCAGGGACCTAAACCAAACACTTGGGATCCTTAGCGTTGAAATAGATTCCCATAATACAAGAGGCAAATTGTTCCAGCCCAAGACACTTAGCACATGTGGGGGAACAATCCGGTCCAGGTGCTTCGGATAGGGAGCCATGCCTAGAGACGACTTCTAACCAAAAAACAATCTCCTCTGGAATCGTCTTCCATCGGGATATATAAGACCATCAGTCAGTCCGATCTAGAATGACGAGATAACCACCACTCATCACCTCATCTACTCACCTTCTCACTACCACTCTCATTTTTCGAGTTGAATACTCTGAACTCTTTAAGCATGTCTTTCGCGACCTTCTCCCGCATCGGCCTTATGGCCATGCCTTTGATGGCACCCCTTGTGTCTGCTGCCGCCGTCCAGGTCCAGCCCCGAGGACAGCTTCAAGCTCGAACCTTCGCCGACAAGGGTTGCTACTCAGAGCCCCCCAGAGACCACGGCCGTGCCCTCAAGGATGCGAGCTTCTCGTCTGACTCGATGAGCACCCAGATGTGCTCCGACTTCTGCAAGGATTACGTTTTCTTCGCAACCGAGTACGGCAGGGAATGCTACTGCGGCGATGTCCTCACCGAATCTGCTCTCCCAGCTGACTCTGGCGACTGCAACATGCCTTGCAACGGCATGGACGATCACTCCAGATGCGGCGGCCCGGGCCGTCTCAACCTCTACCAAACCGATGGCTACAGCGGTCCCTCTGTGAAGGATTTGTACAACCGCGGCTGGAATTATCTCTACTGCCACACTGAGGGTGACGGAGGTCGTGCCCTCAGAGAGGATGGGTACTCCTCTGACAACATGAAGGCCGAGGACTGTGGCCAGTACTGCTCCAACAAGGGATTCAACTTCGCCGGTGTGGAATACGGCCGTGAGTGCTATTGCGGCAGCACCATCCACGGAGGTAGCATCGCTCCCGCGGCCGACTGCCAGATGCGCTGCTCGGGAGATGCCAAGAGCTACTGTGGCTCTGGTGGACGTCTCAACATCTATGCCCGCACCGTCCCCGGACCTATCAGAACCGATCCCAGAGCCACCTTCACTTACGCCGGTTGCGCAAAGGACACGCAGACTCTCCGCCTCCTTGAGACTGGTTCCAGGCTCACCGCCGACGACATGGACGCCTACAAGTGCTGGTCCTACTGCTCCAACTACAAGTACTTCGGTGTCGAGAATGGCAACGAGTGCTACTGCGCCAACACGTACTCTCTCGATCTTGAGCTGGTGTCTGACTCCGAGTGCGGCACTCCCTGCTTTGGCAACGGCGTCTACACTTGCGGCGCTAAGGACCGCCTGAACCTCTACAACAGTGGCAGAACTCTCGCTGTCTCCGTTTCCACCTCCCAGTACTCATACGTCAAGTGCGCCCAGGAAACCCCCGGCGGCCGTGCTTTGGACGGTGACCACTTCGCTGACGACAACAACATGACCGTCGAGATGTGCGCTGGCCTCTGCAACAACGGCAAGGGTGCTACGTACTTTGGTCTTGAGTTTGGCAAGGAGTGCTTCTGTGGTACCGGCGAGCCCGCGAACGCTGCCGATGAGAGCCAATGCTACTACAAGTGCACCGGTAACTCTGGTGAACTGTGCGGTGCCCCGGACCGTCTTTCCGTTTACAAGTACAACTAAGAAGTTGGAAAAGGTATTGATTAAAAAGAGAGACCATGGAATGATAATATTCTGCAGTCAACTATCGTCTAGAGACATTCTGGGGAAACTTTTCTTTGCTTACTTCAATTCATTCAGCGGGGGTGGAAGGCTTTTTCATCGGCATCTGTGCCTTGGTAGATATTTCACTATTTTTTTATAGGTATTTAATTTATCGCTTTCCCCGAACATTGCCTCAGCTCCCATATTTGGAGGGGTTTGCCTTTTCGTACAATCACGGCGTTTTTCAATGGAAGACACTGTCCAGACCCCCCATCTTGGTGATTACTGTCCCACTCACTTGCATGAGCAGTGACTTTGATGTGACTTGGATGCACCCGCTGGCCCATCAATGGTTTGACGTACCGCTTCGCGAGTTGGCAGCCAGTATACCAAATTTCTCCCTGTTCAAGGCCGACGAAATTTTCCCGATGGTAACACAGACCTTGATGGCAAATAGGCCGTGGCATGGATCTGCATTTATACGCTTCCAGTATCCCGATACGCTAGGGCGCTTGCGCTTGCGCTTTCACTTCCATCAACTGGTTGACTCCACACTGCCATACCTAATTCGGCCCACACACTCTAGATTCGATCTTAAACTTGCGTCATCCACCTGGCTTTCATCTGATCCCGAATCTTTCAAGACGGCCATTTCATCTGTTTCTTTAGTTGGTGAGAAATTTTCGAGCCTATTTGTAATCGCATGGCCCAGAAGTATGAGATTCATTCAACTTCTGTGATCCAATTCCACCCTCTTGCTCACCGATGACGTCAAGCTTTGCTCGGCCCGATTTACCAACTGGGCAACAACTGCATTGGAGGCGAACAGTAGAGAAAGTCGAGGCTCACTGCTGATTAATAGCTTGACTCGCCTCGTGTCATTAATTGTAGGTCCTCTGAATTCCGTATCTCCCACCGGCTGCTGATAAATCTGTCCCCAAGATATGAAGCATGGCCTGTAGTCGAAGCTTGAAGCCTGGAATTCAAATACGGCCATAAACCTCGCAAAGATGTGAGAGTTGACAACAAGAACAACAACTACAACATTCCGTCCATATTCAAATTATAACGCCCTCCAACGACCATCTTGATTCACAACTTTAACAATGGCGTCCCAACAAGTCTTCCGCTTGCCCCAGCGCAACTCCATCCAGGACATCCAACTTGTCACCGAGCCGATTCCTACGCCATCGTCCTACGAAGTCCTCATCCGTATTCGAAGTGTCGCCCTCAACTTCCGCGACTTCGCTGTTGCAACCGGAAAATACCCCTTCCCCGTCAGAGACAATGTTGTTCCTTGCTCCGACCTTGCCGGCGATGTGATGAAGGTTGGGCAACAGGTTGATGGCTTTGCCGAGGGAGACAAGGTTGTGGCTGCTTTCGATCTCAGCACTCTCTATGGCCCGATGAAAGATTGGAACCATAGCCTGGGAGGTGTTTTCGATGGAGCCCTGAGGCAGTACATCGTGCTGCCTACCTCAGCTCTGGTCAAGGTTCCATCGGACTCGGAGCTAAGCTATTCGGAGCTGTCGGCTTTGGTGTGCACTGGTTCTACTGTGTGGAACTCGCTGTATGGCAACACCGTGCTGAAGCCGGGTCAGACCGTTCTATGCCTCGGTAAGTTCTACCAGAAGAGGATTGGGCGTGGAGAAACTGACTTTGTTGTAGGGACTGGTGGCGTGTCAATTACCGGACTGATGCTGGCCAAGGCCGCTGGAGCAACTACAATCATCACGTCTTCCTCTGACTCCAAACTGAAATACGTCCAAGAGACCTACGGAGCCGACCATGTGATCAACTACAAGTCGAACCCTAACTGGTCTGATGAGGTTCTTAAGATCACCAAAGGCCAGGGAGCGGACTTCATCCTCGAGAATGGCGGCGCTGGAACGATTGCCCAAAGCATTAATGCCGTCGCATATGGAGGATCTATCGCCGTAATCGGCTTCCTGGCGTCTTGCCCCCAGGATCAGATGCCGGACGTGGCTGCCCTGGCTTTGTCTAAGGGAGCTGTTGTTCGTGGCATCATGGTCGGATCTAGACAGCACCTGGAGGAGGTTACACGATACGTGGTGGCTCGCGGATTGAAGGTTCCCGTAGAGAAGGAATTCGGATTTGGGCGGGATGAGGTGGTAGCTGCCTTTGAGTATCTCTCAACTGGAGCACATGTTGGCAAGGTTTGTATCAAGGTTCAGTAAGTGCGAAGCACCAAGAGACGGTTTACTAGTGACATCTTAGCTCAAAACCGAAAGTCATCATGTATTGTTAAAGTAATCTCCCCAAACAATCGTGTGCTTGCGATGAAGTCTCGTCACAAATGGGCGGACAGTAATTGAAGCCGTGATATTGACCACGATTCCACTTCCATCAAGCCCAGAAATCCAAGCCAATCATTCCCAGTATTCTGTCGTATTCCAAACACTGATGGAACAGCAGCGCCTACTCACGCTCGCCGCATTGTCTCTGGCAATAGACGTATCCCTTCCCATCACGAATACCGAGTTCCTCTACACATACAAGAACACACTAACATAACATCAGCCACTTACTTGAGTTTTCCCTCCGTCAATGAGATACATACCTCAGACCATTGAATCTGTCGCTTCTCCGCCGGCGCAGCAGCCACTGGGGCAGAAATCTGTTCTCTCTTGACTCTGGCTTCGCCACACTGTTCCTTGCAAATCGAACGGGCTTTGCCATCCCAGATACCGAGTTCCTCAAGGCAGGCCTGAACGCACTTTCAAAAGTCTCAGTACCGAGACATTCAAAGTTCTGAGGTGGTTACCTACTGGGGAGAACTGCCGCTTCTCAAAGGACTTGGCCGGTGCGGAGCCATCGCCGGTTATGACGGACCGCGCCTCAGCGCATTCAGGTCTTGCTAGACAAAGCTCGGCACACTTTCTAGATTATCAGTGTTGGTGTTAAATAAGAAGAGTCGCGGGATATCGTACTGGACTGGTAATCTGGCGTTTCTCAGCAACGGATTCGCCGTCAGCAAACTCGCGAGTCTGGGGCGTGCTGCAGCTCTTTGAGCAAAGAGACTGCTTAGTCTCTCTGCAGCTTTTTCGGCATGCATATTTGTCGAGGCCGGTGTTTTGCATGCATGTAGTTACGCACTATGGAAACTTCTATCAGGCTTCATGCAATACTTAGCATTTTATAGGAGAGGACATACGGCAGAGTTGGGAAAGCTCGAGCAGCTGGGAACGGCTGCATTGGCCAAAGCCACCAAGCCGATCAGGACGGTCGTGAAACGCATTGCGGTTGAAGTTAGTGTGGTGGAAGAAAGGGTTGTGAGAGTGAATAAGAGGATGCCCGGGGACCATGACGGGGCAAATTGGTTGTCTTATAAAGACAGCGAGATGATGATCGATGGCTTCTTGTTACAAAATGTTCAAGTCACATGGCTAAGAGCAAGGAAATCGTAGTTGTTTGGTGGGTAATACGGTTTTGATGTGGCGCCCTATCAACATCGCAGAGTGTGCCAAGAAAACTTGAATCAGATCCCGTGGGATGAGCCCAGCTCACCATTTACCAATCTCGGAATCGGGAGGCTGTCTATGCGAGTATTAAAAAAGAATCTCGGTGGCGGAAAAAGGCTATCCGTTATCCGCGGCGAATTAGGAGATATCTATAGCCGTCAGCCGAGGGAGAAACGGCGCCTGAGTGTCTTATTTTGCCAATTGAGCATATTTAAGCCGCAGTAGGCTGACTTTTACTTCTTTTGGAATCAAGACGGCTTGTCCTGTCAGATATCCTGTTATGTTCTTTGTTCTATCTTGCCTTAAATGGCAAACGTCAGCCACCCCACAAAACTTGAATTGAGACACCTGTCTCTACTGACTTCTACGCGATTCGTCAGACATGTATTTCGACAAGTCGCCGCTATGAAACCGGGCGAACAGAAATATTGATAGCGGCGTGGTTTGTGGCCACTCCAGTCTTCGGTGCTTTACTAAATTCAATGGCATGCGAAGCAGCCTCAACGAAGCATCCTGAGGTGCCAAGCTGCGCGCTCTTACGACAAGCCAAGGTGTTCCAACTCCGTACGTAAAGCGCGAGAAGCTGTTAGCTTTGTGTGCTCAACGCGCGTACATACTAGTAAAATATCTGTGACCTATCATTTATGCCAATCTCTATGAGACTATCAGCAGTGAATTCACTTCCTGTATGTGGACGATCCATTTGCTTGGTCCGTTCCAGTGACTACCTCGGTGCACCGAGGAATGTTTACGGGTTTCAACTGATGAGCCAAAAGGCGTCTAGTGCGCACGTCTCATAGCACAGGTCCTTAGGATGTGTAGGTGGATGTCGAACCCAGTGGGGTACTTAATAGTCTAGCATGTTTGTACTATATGCCATCCAACTCTCGGAGTCATCCCAAAGTCCCAAAAGTCATTCCGAAGTCCCAAAACCCTCGCTTAATAACGTAGTTGATGCATGTTACAAAACACGATCACAGATATGGATCAACATTGTAAGCGAACCAAAGGGGATCAGCGGATCACGGCAAGATCATTTGGGACAAGTGAATGTGTTGTCCATCATTCGACCCACCTCCGCGCATGATTATTGGCAGCCGAATAGCATCAATGCAGCCGATCTCCAGTCCTCTCTACTTTCGAAATGATAAGAGTATTCTAAAAAGAGCGAAAGTAATCCGAATAGAACCTTATCCGCGGTCACTCCGCTCGCACCAGTGCTGACGCCATTCGGCACTCGATGGATGTGTCAATCTCCAGCTTCCGAATCATTTAAGTACTACTGATAAATCTTCACCTAGTGATTTCAATATAACTTATATCCTATGATCTCGCATTCATGTTGTCACTTACGTGCACTCCTGGTTATTCTTGTGGTTGTACCTGCCCTGACTCCAGCCACTTCGGTCCGAATCATCATCATGGCGCTGAATCTATCCCACTTGTCATCCGATAGCAGTCCAGTGATCGTCGCGGGGCATAAATTTCCGACACCTGTTACGAGCCGGTCAAAGGCGACCGAAGACAAGCTTTCAGGCTCAACCCCCTTGGCATACGAACGCGACAGGCTCATTAGACGATGTATGGGACGAGAGGTCCACGTCGTAAATTTGATGAGCTTGATGCCTACATGGCCGAAGGAAATTCACTCACAAGATATTTTGGACGAAATTAATGGAGACCTTGACCAGTGGCTGAAGAGGCAAGCTGAATTTGTCCCATCCCCCTCCTCCAACCCAGGCTGGTTAACCTCGCCGCCTTCCTGGGGCCTTCGAAGGTTGGTTCAATAACATGTATACGAGCAGCGTGAATATTGCCGAAGAAAAGAAAATCAAACATCGGAAGAAGGGTAATTACACAATCATGGCAAGCGTGTTTGATTCGAGATGCAAGAAGGAGAAGTTATTGACGTTGACAAAATACGAGTACTAGGTAAATCATATCACCGAGTCCATTTGTCCTGGTCTTTGTTCTGCCAAATTCAAGAACATGAGCTAAAGAAATATGTGCCCTCAGATATTCTGGTTTGACGACGAGATAGACACAGGTGGCGAGCTCACCACCGATGCGGCCGGGACACGCCACATTTGTGATTTGACACTCCAATGTGTCGAACACTGCCTCCACCCTGATCTTGCGAAAGCATGCTTCACCCCGCCAGTTGACTCTCCAGGCACTGTAACAGTACTTTACGAAGTGCTCGCAGCCATGAGACAGGAAATGGGCCCAATGTCGATCGAGCGAATGCGGAGGGAGCTGCACGAATACATCGAAGGTGTAGCCCGCCAGCAAGCGGTGAGGCAGGACCAGCACTTACCCGATCCTTGGTATCATTTTGACATTAGGATCGCGGACATTGGTGTCTATCCTTCCATTACCCAAACCGAGTTCGCGATGGATTTCGAGCTGCCAGACTCCACCAGATACCATGAAGCAATGGAGACAATTGCGACGGAGTGTACGAGACTGTCCATTTTGATTAATGAAATCCTGAGTGTGCAAAAGGAATTTGTAAGTCTGACCCTTCAGGCTGCGCACGGTGTATACGTCTTGCTGACGCAGGTTGTCCGACTACAACGCAGCATGTCGGTCAACTTGAAAACATGGTCCTCCTCTTCATGAACACGGAAAACATTTCAGTTCATGAGTCTGTGCATAGGATTATCGGTCTCATCAGGAAACATTATGCAGCGTGTGAGGATGCTGTGGCCCGTCTTCCCTGGACCGATGATGAGGTGGCGAATGAGCATATACGTGAATATCTCAGAGGTTGCCGCCGGCTAGCAACTGGTACCGGGCATTGGGCATACTTGTGTACACGGTACTTCGACGAGACGCAGCTGGATGAGAAGTGTGGACTGGTCATGAATTTCGCAGCGCCTGGTGATGGTCGCGCAACTTAGCAGTCGGTCTTGAAAACTTCTTAGGGCACACTGGTCCTTAGTGAAAGAGAACACTCCAGGGATGATCATGAAAGCCTGTTACAGACTGCATTTGTCGGATCTTCGGATGCCAGTTTGTCATTAGCGAACGTCTGGAAGTCAACTTCAAAGAAATGCAATCACTTCAACTAATGAACCTTAAGGTTTTGTAGAAAACGTCAAAGAGGACATCTTTGAAATGACTACCTAAATCCAAAGCAGAATGATACTACCTATCTTAACATCCATGGCTGAGCATACTGCACCGCAAGAAAAGAACCCGAATATCACCATAACTTGGGCCTCAAGATCTCATGTTCTTTTACTCAGTCTTATACGCATCCAACTTAGTCGGGATGTCAGTCAAGGTAAGACCATTTTCGAAAAGAGGCATACTATCAATCGTGAAGCAGATCGGTAGAAACAATATTGAAAAGGAGCAATCACTCGACGAGGAAACGTTGAAAGGGCTCCAATAGCTTATTGAAACGAATAACTATTCAATCATTTCGAGATACGTGTAAGGCAGACAAGGAGTGATGTTTTTAAATTCTTCTCTTGAATTTTAGTGAAACAGAATCCTCTGGGCCGATTAGGTCCGTAGCTAACGCAACGGGGCAGCTTCACGATATTCAGCAGCAAGGACTGAGCATGGATCATCCCAGACTACACTTAGAGTTCATTGCGGCTTTCGGTATTTGGGAGATTCCGTATTGCTACAATGATTGCCGTCTTATGGCTCGTGCAGAAGCAGCGAATGACGTGGGATTACTTCGAGGTCCCCTTTCCCCGCAACTTTTTATCGGCATGTTCAACCTCCACATCTGCTTAAGAAGAGCTATTAAGTGCAGTACATACTTCAAGGAAACATATAGATAAGTCAGGAACTCCTCACGTACAGCACTTCAACGCACCAGCTGATGCTTCGCGAAGGCATTCAACATGAGCCAAGTGAACCAATCTAAACATCCCGGGGATGACATCATTCCGGATGCCCCCATGATGTTCAACGAGTACCGCACCATGCAGGCTCCAGCTGAAGAAATATTTCCCTGGGTCGTTCAGCTCGGAAAATCGCGCGGCGGGTGGTACCTCCCCAAGCGATGGGAACGAGTTCTACCAAAATCCTGGGCTGGGGCTCGTACCATCAAGCCTGAATTCCAAGAGTTGAAAATCGGCGACAGAGTTCCTGACTACGGCCTGAGTAAGGATGATTCGTTCAATGTTGTCAGCATAAATCCTCCCCGTTCGCTTGTCTACACGAGCATTCGATACGGTACGAGGATCACGTGGGCCATTCTCCTCCACGAGTCCAACATCGAAGGCACAGATGGATCCAGGGTGGAAACCACGGTACATCTCCGGCTCCGTGCCGGTATCACCTCTAAGGGGGTCGTGAAACGAATGATCATTTGGGCCGCAGGCAAATTCGACCACGCGACAACAGTGCCGATGCTAGCTGGGCTGGCGGAGCGCGTTGAGAAGGATCATACAGATTAGGAACTAGTGAAAATTTGAGTATGCGCATATGTATTCCATTACAATGGTACAGCAATAAAAGAAGAACACATGCGTTATTTGGCAAGAATGAGCGCATAAACATCCCTTTCAGGTGACATTCAATACCGATGAATGTTTATTCTGGGCGTGTAAGCGACGAGACGAGAAGTACCACAAATATTGCGTGTTGCAGCCGATGCCATCATGCACCTTCCGCTCGACTGTTCGTAGAGACCGTTTAACACGTGCGTCTGCTGTTTCAGACGATCCAGTAAGGCATCATTGATCACACCCATTCTGTAGTTGAACACAATCTTCGTTCAATGTTGTGACTACATTACGGCTGGCCCTCTCCCCAAAGACACGCATGTGTTTCTGACCACTCTTGCTCATCCAGTCTTATTTCTAAGATTCTCGAACCTCTGCATGTATGGGTGGCAATTTTGCCAAGCCTCCACATGGCATAGGACAACTTAGAATCAGGAGACAATGGCTTCCATCCCAAATCATCCTCATAACATCCAGTATTATTCCATGGGTTGATTGGACAAATTCTAAGCAAGATTTCCTGTCAAATAATCTTGCTGAGTCAGTCTCTCAGTTATACAAGCGCCCTCGCTTTTCCGATGCCAGTCGCCGCGACATCCCGGGGTTTTTTTCGGCAACGGGGGAAAGTTCAGCTCTGACCACGTGGGAAACACGCGTATCCGTAGCCCCCGCTTCGATAACAACTCGTAGGCTACCGGGTATCAAGATCACTACACAGCAATATGCTTTTTGAGTCTCATGTAGCCTGCATCAACCCTGCAACAGAAACACGGAAAGACCCGACAGATGCGTAGACTCTCAGGGTCGATCCGCACAAAGTAAGCCCTCCGCTGTAACTACCATACGGATAGGGCAGACGAGATTAAGTGCAAGTGGGGTAACGTAGAGTGTAATTCATCTGAAGCCCAGGCATTCTCGTCCGACATAGAGCAGCGGCTACAACTTCTATGTCAGTCTCTACAAAGAAAGTCGAAGGACTAGGGATATCCTTCTCATCAACATTCACGTCTGTCTTGAGATGCTGTCTGGGCCGGCACCTGCAGTATCAACATCAATCGAGCTTGTTTTCGGCGACCACGCTGTTCCTCGTGAGAAATAAAGTTCCGAACTCTGCGCCTGCGATGTCGCGCTTTGGCATTTTTCGCGATCAAAGAATGCTCGAAAGTCTAGCGGGCTCATTTCGGGTTCGTCTTAGCTACCTGAGTCAAGCAAACAACAAGTCTATTGAGTTCGAGTGCGTGGGCAGCCAGGCTTCCAGGACGTCTCGGGCCGGCGCTAGGTGCGCCGGATGCAGCCAAGTCTCTGCCGAAGCCCCTGCCGAAGCCGCTTTCCATCATTGTTGGTTTCGCCTGTCTGTCTTAGTTCCAGCCTAAGCACGCCGTGAACATCAAAAAGCCACATTCATTTTAAAAAGTTCACGGCGCCACTTTTTTGTTTCTCTTGCCTCGGCATGTTGGCTTTGCTTCGTGTTTCCAAGCTGCTGAATCGTCAGGGGTCGCGAATTGCTTTCGCCTTCGTCGTTACAGCACCAGATTGCTAGGTCGATATGACGCGAACTATTCTAAACATCCTGGCAGGGTTGGCTTGTCAGACCACGATAGCCTCCGCGATGGTGTTGAGCGCGGTCCAGTCGAATGCAACATCACTACCGACCACAGCCGGTCCGGCCGGCGTTGCATCGCAGCAGACGTCGAGCATGCTATCACCTTGCGCGGTATGTTCCACCCGCTATCAACATGAGTCCATTTGAAAGGGAGTTTGCTGAGGTAGTGCTGTGCAGATGAACTGCACAATAGCAGAGCTGGCGAAGTCCACCTGTCAATCCACCGATTTCGTCTGTATATGTACGAATCAACAGCTCAATGATGGGATAGCTGGATGTCTGATGCAAAACTGCACCGTTGTCGAATCATTACGTGAGTCCGATCATTTCTTCGTATCATGGCACCTCTTAGATGCGTTACTAACGGATCCATATACAAATAGAAGCTCAAAACTACTCAAAATCTTTGTGTGGAGCGCCTTTCAATCGTAATTTGGATCAGCCTCCAATTACGTGGACCATCTTCACGCTCTCATTCATAGCGGTTTCAAGCCGCTTCATATCCAAGATTCCTTCTTTGAATCCAGCTTTCCCTTTTGGGTGGGACGACTGGGCAATTCTAGCGTCTATGGTTCGCTCATCAACGCGGCACGTTGTGTTCGCACAAGCTAATGCCTTTCCATAGATCGTTCTAGTAGCTTCTGACGTTGGATCTCAAGTGCGTAAGTATGCACCCCGAGCCAGACATTTAGCTTGTCCTCACCGATAACAGTCGTAAGCCTGGGCTTCGGTCAAGATATCTGGACAGTTGCACCAGATAACATCACTCAAATACTGCTGGTGAGTAAAGTTTGCTTCAAAACTGGATGCCTTTTTGACTGTGTGTTCAGATCTTCTTCGCCGAAGAACTGTTCTACTCCTTTGTGGTAGCAGTTACAAAACTCTCAGTTATCATCTTTTACTTGAGGTTATTTCAAGAGAGCTGGTTTCGAAAAGCCTGTTATGGTCTGTTTGGTATCACAACAATGTACGGGATTGGTCAAATCCTCGCGATCATCTTCGTCTGTAGTCCAGTCTCATACAACTGGACACGATGGGACGGCCAACATGCAGGGCAGGTATGAAGTTTCTCATCATTCTTTATCCCTTCGTCCTGACACCAAAACCACCGCTCACACATTAGACAGTGTGGTAAAGTCAACATCATGACTTTCGTGAATGGAGGGACCAACATCGCCATTGACCTCGTCCTCGTCATTCTACCAGTGACACAATTGTAAGTTCTGTCGGAACTTTTCAACGCCATTCAAGGTGCCTGACATGACGCGTTAGCATTACCGTGTCCTGGACAATCAGGAAAAAGATTGGTGTGAGCCTCATCTTCTTGGTCGGATTATTGTGAGTATTGCCCCACGTTGAAGCGATCCCTCAGAGTCAGTACCTTGCTCACATTCCTCTTCAGTGTCACCATGTCAAGTTGCATAAGACTGGCAACAGTCGCGAAATTTGCGGACACGCAGAATCCCACATGTGAGTAGCATCATCCACCTGACAGTGATGATGAGTGGTTCTAACATGTCCAAAGTCGACTTCAAAGCCCTCTCGATCTGGTCACTGGTTGAGATGCACGCGAGTGTCATATGTGCCTGCATGCCAGGCATGACGGCTTTCGTACGACGCGTGAAGCCACGACTTGGATGTCACGCAGAGCACACGCCTGAACAAATACGGAACAAGCCCAGAACCGGGCGGTCCGTTGCACGTCAGATCAGAGAGACGTTTAGCCGTATGACGGCAGCAGCCAGAGAGGCGGGCAACAACTCGACGTGGAACAGCTTGTAGAAAACTACAACGAGCACGATGACCGGAACTCAACTGAGCACAATTGATAGGGACGCACCCGAGTACCGGGACTACGTTGTCTACGCTCCGTATGCGGAACAAGGGGACAAGGCGCTTCCACAAACTAGCATACGCGGTGATAGAGCGAGTTGAGAATGTAATACGAAGTATCACGAAGAACGCTGTTTGATGATCCACTCGAATGTTCTAGATCTTGACAATTGCATTTGTTTTATGATCAGTTCAATCCTATCTAATCATCTGATACTGTCCCTCAAACGCTTGTTTGTCTGCCTGCATTGGGGAAAGACATCTGCGCCGCACGAGACAGGCGCGCCGAGTGGCCAGTGATGTTGGGGTCCTCGCCTAGGAAGTTGCTTGGGAACCCAACATCGAACGGCTTAACGCTCTCCAAGTACGCAATCTGCTCGTCGGTGAGCTTGATCTTGAGAGCCTCAATGTTCTGCTTCAAATGCTCAACCTTCCTGCCGCCCACAATTGGGAACACATTCGGTGCCTTGCTACGAACGTAAGCCAGCGCAATAGCTGTCACGCTCTCGGTTCCGTGCTCGCTCGCGACCTTGGCCAAGGCCTCGCTGATCTTGATCTCCAACTCCGTTTGCTCGCCTGTGCTGACGAACGATCTCAGGCCCTCGCCATTCTTCTTACGCTCCTCGATCGCCTTCTTGGTCTGGAACTTGCCCGAGCCCAAGACATCCCACGGGCACAAGGCCATACCAAACATTCTAGCCATTGGCAGAATATCCCGCTCAAAGTCCCGGTGCATCACGCTCCAACGACCCTGGTACACACTAAAAGGCGTCTTTCCATGGTCGATGGCATATGTGTTGGCTGCGCTGACGACCCAGGCAGGGGTGTCGGAGATACCGAGATAGAGCACCTTGCCCTGCTCAACCAGAATATGCAGGGAATCCATAATCTCCTTGATGGAAGTCGTGTAATCCCACCAGTGCACATACAAAATATCGATGAAGTCGGTTTGGAGCTTTTTCAAGGACGCCTCAACACTAAGATGCAGGCTGCGACGGTGGTTGCCCATGAAGTTTGCCGTGTTCCCCTTGCCATATAAATGGCTCCTGAAGTCGGAAGTGTATTTGGTGGCGATAATCATACGGTCACGGTTCTTTCTCTCGGCCATCCAGTCGCCGATCCAGGTTTCTGACTGCTCATCCTGGTAGTTATTTGCGGTGTCGATGAAGTTGCCGCCCGCTTCGTAGTATGCGTCCAGAAGCTTGTAAGATTGCTCTTTGTTCATCGCGCCCATTGCCTCCGCCCAAGCCTCACCAATTGACATGGCGCCGAGAGCCAGGGGAGAGACGCGGAGTCCGGCGGTGGATGAAAGAACCCGCATTCTGCCCAGCTCACTGGCGGGCTCGGGGGCAGATGCGAGAAAGTTCGACATGGTGACAGTTGTGATTTGTGCAATTGATCAAGTTGTTTGCTCCGTCAATAGTTGTTTTCTTGAATAGACTGGCTGTTTTCTTCCATCAATTCCGGTGTTGGGATAGCTCTGAACTTTTTTATAATGATCTCCAGTGAGGGGTTCCGGCTGTAGACGGTCTAGCTTGGTGATATGGTTGACTAATGCGCGGAAATACCTACCGGATTTTAGCAACATTCCGCGGTTGGGTCACAAAGGTGAAGCGACCATTGAAGCCGTCATGCAGCCCAGGTGCGGGGATCTTTCGAGATAATGACGTAGCGTGTATGTTGATCGGTTTCGGCACGATAATGTAACATTAGAAACAGAGTTTCAAGGGGATCCATCGGGACCTCCAGTCACACATAACATCGGGGATAACGATCGGTAGCATAGCCCGGCAGTCTTCTTCGCCGAATAAATCCTTCGGTCTTACTACCGATCGGTAGGGGCCGTGCGGGGCCCGGAGACGGCCGGAGTTTGCGGGGCTAAGTCCGGGGTGACTGTGTCAGCCTTCGGCTCGGTGGAGAGACGCGAAAAATAGATAAAGCGCCATATTCTGCAAGTTGTTGGCTATCATGACCTGAACTGACTTAACTACTGGCTACGCTCTGGCCTTTCAGCCTTCTTGCAACAAGTACTGTGATCCGGAAGTGATTAAACAGCTAGAGTCACCAAGAACTGTTTGGCGATGCACACGACACGGCCAGGAGGGCGTGGATTGAGAAAGAATTGGTTACAGCAGTAGCTTCCATGAGACAAGTGTCGAAACTTTGTAGGAAACCAATCCAGCCCAATCCTACTATTCTTCCCACGCCAAATAAGTTACGTTCTGCTGGCCTTGAGCTGTTTGACGATCTTGTTGATATGAATGATAGCGTCCCGTGCTCCATCCCAAGTCCGCCGTTTCCCTGTCTCATAGTACCTGAACGCATGTGCTGTTTCGACGCCATGATTGATCAGATAACACATGTAGGGGTCCTTCAACCAGCTTACCCAGCCCCGCCATCCCCAGCCCAGATTCTCCATGCCAGTTCCAGCGGCTTTGTGAAGGAAGCCTTGGAATTCCCATTGTTTAACTGCAGAAGTATCGGTTCTGGGCTCCTTGAACCAGCGGCCTGCTACCCACTGGTGATGTTTGTCAATCGCACGGTCCATTTCAGCTTTTGGCGGGATCATATCCGAGCTGACACCCCGCCAGACATTGCTGATGGCCATAGACGTTACATCTGAGAAGGAGAAACCGTTGTTCTTTCCAAATGCAGAGTAGGCGAGAACAGCAATACTGTCCCAATAGGCTGGCGGGAAGATGTTCATGTAGAGGCGTTGCAGGGGTGGGCCGCCGTACGCGTTGCCCGCAAGGTCGGTCTTGGGCTTGCTCGTGTCCAAAAAGGGAATCGGATCAAAGTCGGCCTTGTACCCTGTGCATAGGATGACTGAATCCACATCATCCAGAATAGTGCCGTCTTCAAACTCGATGGACTTCGGGCCGGTGAACCTCTTGATGCCATGCAGAGACGTAACTTTGCCCTCTCGGAGAAGTTCTAGGACAGTATCCATGCACCCTGCAAGATGCAAGCTGAGTGGCGCAACATCATCGAGTAGTCGGAAAGACGGATCAATCTTTCCGTACTGTCTCATCAGAAGGCCAGTCGCAAGTTGAGCAAGCCTATTGGTGAGATTCGGGAACTTGCTTTGAATGAACAATGACACCTGTCTACGCCAGCGCGTAACAAGAAGGTCGGTTGGAAGATTGTTTCGCCATCTGCTTATGATCCAGGCGCCGGCTCGATGCGAGAGAAAGACCTGGTCGGTTTGGTCTACAATGACGGAAAGGACATCGCTCAGAGTGGCGCTGAGCCCTACAAGGACAACCTTTTGTCCCTTGAAATCAGATGGTCTGGAAGTCGCGTGTAAGCCAGTAGACAACTGAAAGGTTTTGTGTATGAGGATCAGGTAAGCGTACTTGCGAAACTGCTGGGAGTGGATAATGGTGCCCTCAAACTTATCTTGGCCCTCGTATACTGGCATCTTCTTCTTCGTCTGGTACCCATGACAGAAGACAACTTTGTCAAACTCTTTCGTTTCTGGCGCACCGGATCTAACCATCTCTACTTGCCATTTCGCCCGATCTCTGTTGCGCACGACCTGATCAACTCGTGCATTGAAGACGATGTGTTTATACAGGCCAAAGTTCTCGGCGTACGACTCCATGTATTCCTCAAACTGTCCTTGCGATAAGAACGGGGGATATTCTGCCCCAATATCAGCTTTGAAAAGGGAGGAACAATTTGGTACCTACTGTCTGGCATAGGGAAGTCTGTAAACCCGCACGTATACTTGCTGATGTTTGCGGTTGTCGCTAGAATCCTGGGTCAGATAAGAACTGATGAGTGACTCCTGGTTGAGAGACTCACTAGGAAGAGCTGTCGTCATGCTCTTATCGTCGGTGTATGACCACAAACCTCCTACCCGACTCCTTCGTTCGAACAAAGTCGCGTCGAACCCATCTTCACGCAAAGTCTTCAGCATTGAAATGCCAGTCGAGCCTAAGGTCCAGCATTAGCAGACGAGCTAACGGAAGTCCCGAGTTGGTGTCTCAATGCTCACCAGCGCCGATAACGGCTACTGTCGGTGGGTCTCCTTGGATTTTGTCCATCACAGCTTTGGAGAATGTTGCGAACGATGGGACTTGAAGGAAATTCGAAATCCGATGAAGAAATTGCCATAAAGCTTGTTTATGATGAGACCATATCCACGACAGCGCGGAAACCCATGGCTATGGTGAGATTTTAAGACAAGGAGATTGCGGGCGCGCGTTCGTCAGCACTAGTGACTGCAGCCACCGCGTGAAGTGGCTGCGAGCGCGGTGCATCAGAAGATTCCTTCGCGGACGATGAAACTCTCATTTGCCATTATCCCCTTCCGGATAACAATCATCCTCGAAATCTGGCATTTTGAACAGGAAACTCCAATCAGATGCCCTTCCGAGGCTTTGCGTGAGACGCAGGATTCGGAGCAGGGGTGGTGATGACAGTGACATGCCGCTAGCGAGAAGCGTCAACAAGATGATTGATCGACACTCCTAACGTCTTTTGGAGTACGTCACAGGCTACGTCGCAGCAACCCGGGCCGACCAAATAGAGTGCCCCGCAAGTTGTCATTAATGGGACTTTGGCTGGCGTATGAAACTATGTCCTTTCTTACCGTCTGGCAGCTTCTGACATTCGGCATACTGTTTCGCCCTCACACATTGGCCATACGATAATTACCAGGTCACAAACCAAAACATTCCCATGCTCACGCCGGGCTTTGTTCTTCACTTATTCACCCACAGGGCATCTTGATGCAACTCGGCCCGCATTGCGGTCTTTCTAATAAACAACAGGGGTATCTATGATAGTCCAATTTTACAATGATTTTACAACTCCTGCTCCTTGTCGAGGGCCGTCTTGACGGCCTCGCCCCTGACAGTAGCCTCCGGGGTGTATGCCTTGAACTGGCGCGCAGGAACACCCTTCATGAACATCTCGTCCAGTTCCTCATAAGTCCTTCCGGCAGTCTCGGGAAGGTTGAACCACAGGTGTACCAATGAGATGACCGACAAGCCTCCGAAGATGAAAGCCAGCTTGGCGCCCAAGTTGAGCTTGTCTGGGTTGAAGAGGTAGGGGAGAACAAAGTTCCACATGGTCTCAAGAGCCTTTTGGCACGCCATACCAATGGCAATAGTCTTGATACGCAGACGAGAGGTAGACACCTCAGCAAGGACCGTGTAGGCGGTAGCACCGATGGTAACGTTGTACCACCAGCAGTAGAGGAGGATAAGAGCGACGGTGCCCTTGTTTGTGGCAAGGGTTCCGGGGAGAGCGAGACCGCCAGTGACGAGGAGAATGACGGTCAGGACGGCAAGGCCATTGACGGTAAGGCTACGACGTCCCATTCTGTCGACCAAGTACCATGACATAACGTTACCGATCAGAGAGATGACTTGCTGGACGATCTGAAGCTTGAAGCTGTCGGCAGTGCTGAATCCAGCGAGTTGCATGTAGTACTGATAAGCTGTTAGTGTCGCTGCCTTCCAAGGATGACGCAATAGAGACTTACAGTGCTGTAGGAGGCGGCGAAGGTGATGCCTGACAGACTCTGGATGCAGAGAGGAGAGATGGAGATGATGGTGCGTCGGAGGTTAGACTTTCGGAAGCACTCCAGGTAGCTGGCGCCAGCAGTTTCACTCGTGATCTGGTCCAACGTCTGGTTGATGACTGCAAGACGAACTCTTCCCTCATCACCTGTATGTCCCAGTTGTGCCAGACACTTCAAGGCCTTATCCTGCTTTCCCTTGATGGCAAGGTACCAGGGACTCTCGGGCATGAACCAGATACCAGCGGCGGCGATGGCGGCAAATCCGTATTGGCCGCAGAAGACGGCGCGGTAGGCCCAGCGGCTGTTGAGGGTTCCGGTCTCGTTGATAATGACGGCGACGATGAGGGGTCCGAGGGTATACGAGAGACCTGTAAGACAGGTGAAGAGACCTCGCAGGGCGAGAGGAGTGATCTACATTGGCTCAGTCAGAATTTGCTTACGCGACGTGGATCGCACTACAGAGAGTGTTCCTCGACGACTCACCTCTCCGATGTATGTGACCGTGACGGAACCAAGAGCACCGATGGCGAAACCGTTGATGAACTTTCCGCCAAAGAAGACCTCGTTGGTTGTTGCGACAAATTCGAGAGTGATTCCGACGAATGAGAAACCCAGGGCAATCATAATGACAGTCTTTCGGCCAAGCCAATCAGCAAGGTTACCGCTTCCCAAAGCACCAATAACAGCGCTGCACAAGTTGATTGTTAGTGAACTGACCCTTCAAACCCCCAATCATTCCCATGAATCACTTACGAGGCAACGGGGGCGCCGTTGAATGCAGACTGCCACTTCGTGTCGAGAACATAGTCACCGTCGTAGAAGTGTCCAAAGTCTTTTCTGAACTCGGGGATAGACAAAATGCTACCTCCGGCCTGGTTCTCGAAACTCAAGACCAGGACACACCATACGGCGTAGACACACCAGAATGACGCCTTGGGGTATTTCCTCAGAGACTCCCATTTGCCAAGCTGATGCTCTTCCGCATTACCCAAGTTGGCCAGTTGAGCCCGAGCCTCGTTGGGATGCTCGAGGTGGTCGGTGTTGTTCTTCTCCGTATCGCCGCCCATTGTGAAAATTTTGTCGCGTTGCGAAATCAAAACAATTCCCAGGATGTTGACAGTTGCGTGGGATTGGCTGGCAGGCTTTGATTTGGTTGCTTGCAAGATAAAAAGACTAAAGCCAACAAACGCCAAGATGCAGACAAATACAATGTTGCACTATCAAGGGCGTTGACAAGGCTTTATAAAAAGATACCCCCACGACTCGTAGTTACGATGCCATCCGATGGCCCACGCCGACATCATGGAATGGTCACCCTATTCTGGAACCTCTCGGGAAGGATGACGGTGGATCTGGGGAGGTTTCCAGCAGACAGCATGATCTGGGGATGGACCTGCGGGGCCCCGATCAAAAGTCGGAGCATGGAGAGTGGTGGGTTGTGGACTGGACGAGTCAGGGGAGTCAGGTCAATATCCACCCTTTGGCCGCTGAAGTGCCTCTGATTTCCCCATGCAGGAATTGTAACCCCCGCACGAGAACCGGTTCCTGGGCTCAGGGGAATTTTGGAGAAATTTGTTGTGCCTCGTGCGTTGCGCAAACACACGAACCCGGCTATTTCCGGCTCGCGAGCGTTGGGGGCTTCTCTCATCGACTTGACGGGCGTTTTCCAGCCATGTGGATTCGTTTCGGGGGGCTTTTCCGACTTTGGCTAGAGCTCTCATAACAAAGCGGATTCTCTGTCGATAGTCGGTCAAGTCCAGACTGCGCCGTTCGGCGGCGTAGACACGAGTGACCGATCAGTGATCACGCACTATCGCGGTGGCCGTTGTCCGATGTTGGCCCGTGTTTCGTGCCGTCTTTCGCGTGGGAAGAAACAGAGAGTGGCTAGGATTTCCGTATCCGGTATCTCTAAACACCGCATAACAGCGGATGTTTTTAATCGTTCGCCCTGGCCGTCTCCAAATTTAAGCATTCATCTGATGTGATTGATGCTTGAAATTGATGAAAATGGTCAAGCCACAGCGCGAGATTTCTTCATGGTAACAGGGGCTTTCAAAATAGCCTCCAACACTCATCGACAACAAGTTGATGAGTGCGGAGAGAAAACCGCCAACAGATAGTCGCAGACACTCAAGACGCGTCAGTGAAGCTATTCCAACCCAACTCCTTCATTCAAAATGACGCAACCCCGGACCGAGGCCTCGGGAAATGACCCTGGACATTTGTCCCCACACGAGTCGCGTGGGCGCTTGACAACCCCCAAACCGGACAAGCCCAAGTCCAGAAGCCATCGGCATGCGGGGTTGACACCCTGGAGAATATTTAGCAGCACCGGAATCCGGCCGAGGCCACCACACGATGATTCGGGCCTGAAGACCATAGGCGAAGGTATCCAAACAAGGAAATCGTTAGCATCCCACTTTCAAAGACACGTCGTGAGCACAATCTCGTCATACAAAGGGAGGCATTGCTTGCAAGTTGCAGGGCTTCGCTCAAGGACAGGAAGACAATCGCATCATTCCAGGACGTCAGGTGCTAGTTGAGAGAACCCTTGTCGAGGAAGTTGGACCGTCTCGTAACCTCATCTTCGTGGCTTCATTCTCTTCCCCTCACGTCACTCCTGCAGGCTGCACAATAGTCTGCAGACAATCCGACAAGATGGCGCAAACCACCAGACTTCAGACCTTCCCCAACAAGCCCAGAGTGTTTGTCCTCACAGACATTTCCAACGAGCCCGACGACGCGGAGTCCCTCGTTCGCTACCTCCTCTACTCCAACCAGTTCCAAACCGAAGGTCTCGTCGCGGTTTCTTCGACATGGATGAAGAACAAGGTCTGTCCCCAGGACATTCGCAAAATCCTCGACGCCTACGCCGGCGCAGTCGACAACCTCAACAAGCACACGCATCCCGACTACCCGTATCCCTCAGCGGACAGCCTCCGAGCCCTGGTCAAGTCGGGCCCACCGGTACGTAAACAACCCCCTACACGACGAACCCCCTTTTGGGACAGAGAAGATGATGGCTCCCTTTTTGGATTTCAGGATCTCGCTAATTCGTTGACGGACAGGTCTATGGTATGGCTGGCGTAGGTGCGGATAAGCCTTTGACCGACGGCGCCCAACTCCTTCTCGAAAGAATCGAGGCTGCTTCAGAAGACCCCTTGTGGGTGCTCGTTTGGGGTGGCACCAATGTCCTCGCCCAGGTCCTCCTGACCATCCGCGACAAGCACTCCCCCGAAGAGGCCGCTAAGCTGCGCTCCAAGTTGAGAGTATACACCATCTCAGACCAAGACGATACCTCCGCGTGGATCCGCACCCAATTCCCCGACATCTTCTATATCTCATCCATCCACGGCTGGAACCAGTACGGTCTTGCCGCCTGGACTGGTATCTCTGGCGACAAGTACTACGGCTTTGACCAGGGCGGTCCTGACTTTTCCAAGGTCTCGAAGCAGTGGATCAAGGAGAACATTCAGATTGGCCCCCTAGGATCCGCCTACCCGGATTATCTCTTCATCCCTGAGGGTGACACCCCTACCTTTCTGTACCTGATCCAGAACGGTCTCGGTGACCGCGAGCACCCTGAATACGGATCATGGGGCGGTCGCTACGACCTGACGGACGCTAGCGACGCTGGCCAAAGGGGCAAGCACTACAGTGATATGTCGGACTCAGTTGTTGGCGCAGACGGCAAGACGTACCGTTCTAATCAGGCCACCATCTGGCGCTGGCGTGATACCTACCAGAACGACTTCGCTGCACGTATGCAGTGGTCGCTTAACCCAGACCTGGCATCTACGAACCACCAACCCATCGTGGTCGTCAATGGAAAGGGAGGATTGGAGCCTTTGTATTTCGAAGCCGAGGCAGACAGCACCATCGAGCTTGACGCTTCAGAGACATACGACCCTGATGGCGACAACCTTACCTTCAAGTGGTGGCAGTACCGCGAGCCCAGCGCGTCTCAGTGGCTTGTTCAGTTCGAGGTTGCGCATCTCGACATCGAAAAGTTGGATGCGGAGGGCAAGAAGATTAAGGTCACTGTGCCGCCGCCTGAGAAGTCCTGTTTGGAGTTGATCAGCCAGAAGCCCAAGGCTAAGGGCCAGCTGCTGCACTTGATCTTGGAAGTCACAGATAGCGGTTCCCCGGCTTTGACAAGCTACCGTCGCGTGCTGATTCAGGCTACGAACAAGTACTTGAGAGGAGGCAAGGACCTCAAGGATGGAGAGGGCCATGATGCCATTGGAGATGCTATGAAGGACTTTACCGGCTGAAATGAACTATGACATATGAATTCAAAGAAATGATTAAACACTTATTGCGATTATCCCACGTGTTGCCTCGTACGTTCCGAGTTCGAGTTTATGGCGGCTGTTTGGGCTCGCGTGTGAGATAAGGCCTCCCCTTCCTTGGGTATGCCTCGTGAGAGACAGAGCTCGCTCAATGCTCGCAGGTGCCTATGATTGACTTGAAATAGATGAAACAGCACATGAATCCTTACAGAGAACAAATCTCATATAGCTATAGGGTATCAGTCGTGAGTGCTGGTGTCTCTACGCTTGACGACTTCATTCTTTCAAGAACCATCATTATAGATTATAGATAACCTACCTGCTCTCTAAAGTGAGTTTTCACGAAACCCAGCTCATTCATGATTGGCTTTTACTTTGACCTCCTTTTGCGCGACCTTTGTTTATATAGCTTCAATAGAAAGCGACCTAGACGCTGTACAATACCCGTAAGGTGCGTAGCTCGTTGGTTGAATATTGAGTAAGAGGTAACAACTTCTTACCCAACGAAAGAACTGTTTTAAAGGCCCCCTGAGGATCGCATGGTGCAGGGTTTCGGGCGGTGGATCCAATATATGGATCTTAGGGTTCAACACTTCCACACAACCAGCAGGTCGGTTAGCTCAGTTGGTTAGAGCGTGGTACTAATACGGCACCCGTCGTATTGAGTAATGCCAAGGCCGGGAGTTCAAGCCTCCCACTGATCACATCCTTTTGCTCCGTTGCACAGCGATTCTGTGAAGGTTGACTTTTTGCTGCAATTGAGAACTTTTGAATGTGGCTGTGGATTCAGCTCCGAATTCCGCCGGGAAATGCGGGGTGTGCGGGGCCATCGCCGGGATCGGCAGATCCGTTCTCCGCCGGTGAGCCGTTTGTCAGGCCGAAGAGTCGCCGTGGCGGTTTGAAGAAAGGAACAGGAGTAATGTGGCTTCTGATAAGCCATCTCTGTCGGCATGCTCAAGTTAGTCTCCGCCTAACAGATTACCGGCGCCGAGGATGGCCGATTTGGGCGCAATTGTCATCTCTGTCAACAATCTTCGGCGCCGAAGACATTGCTCAGCGAGAATCCGTCCATCAGAAGAAGCACGGAAGTTCGTCCCAACGAATCCGGCTTCCGGACGCACGAGCCGAATGCTGCTCAAGCCGGACGACATAAAAATGCTCACACATTCCTGAGACGACTTGTCATCGCATTCGCCACGGCGAGAGGAGAGACAGCTCACTAGGGCGATTGGTAAGCCCCCGCAGAAATCCGCCCAGCCCACGGCCAGCCATTGTTGATCCAACAGCAGCTTTAGCGAGAGGACTAGGCATGCACAATGCTGTCATAGGACCCTAGATTGAATGCAGATTCCGAAGCTTATTTTTCCGCCTTCGGGGAGCTTCATCATTCCTCATAAAAAGCATTCGAGCTCTCGTATGATCGTTGTGGGCCACGATCTTCATCTTCTGCGCAGCTTAAGCCTGGCTCTCTCCCAGTTTCCCTTCTTTCCACGAAACCTCCATAGATCCATCTTCAGTGCGTTGAAGAACGAATCAAAACATGGAGATCGAAATCCCAGCAATTCACCCGGCGGTCGCCGTCAGAGCTCCCCGCGAGCCACTCGTTCTCATCGATGCACCGACGTATCCACCCGATGCCGGCGAAGTCATTGTCAAGGTCGAATGGACCTCATCAACACCTTACCACCTGCACCAGGCCGACGGAGGATTGCTGATCGACATGTTTCCCCGCATTCTTGGCGACACCTTCGCAGGGACGGTGCTTATGGTTGGCCCTGGCCCGCATCATGTCGATCTCGAGGTTGGCGACAAAGTTCTGGGATACTCATTCCGCGACGTCAAGGATGGCAAAGAGAAGGCTGCGCAGACACTCATCACGGTTCCGACATTTTTACTTGGTAAGATGCCGCAAGGCTTGACCATGCAGGAGGCCGTCACCGTTCCCGACAACATTGTCACCGTTTTCCAGGCCGCTGTCATGGATCTCGGCCTGCCGCTGCCGTGGCCTATTCCCGAAGGGTGGACCCCTCCGGAGGCCGACGCGCCGATTTTGCTTTGGGGCGGGGCCGGGTCCGTGGGAATGTACTCCATCGAAGTCTTCCGGCATTGGGGATACAAGAACCTCGTCGTCGTCTCGAGCAAGAAACACCACGAGTATTTGAAGTCCCTTGGCGCCACCGTCTGTTTCGATTACCGAGACAAGCACGTGGTCGATGAAATTCGAGAGTACCTTGGGCCGCAAGGTGTGCCTTACGTGATCGACTGCATCGGACACTTGACGGGGTCATTACGGCACATCACAAAACTGGCGGACAAGGGCACCAAAGTTGCTGTGATGCTGCCGGTGGTCATCAGCGACCCGACAGAAATTCAAGCACCTGTCTATCAGATGACGGAGCCAGCCGAAGGGCAGTGGAAGGAGGGAGTCATTGTGAAGGGTGTTCGAACGCATTTTTATCTCAAGGTGAGATACATGCATTCCAATTGTGACGAATATTTCCGTACTAACACCAAATAGAATCAACTCTTCAAAGACAAGATGCAATGCGAGATCATTCCGGCGTTACTCGAGCAGAAGGTCGTGCGGCCGAACCCTCAGAGGATAGTGGAAGGCGAGACACTACTGGAAAGAGCACAGGATGCGATAGTGTTACTGAGAAACAAGGCAGTTAGTGGTGAGAGACTGGTCTGGCGAGTATCTGAAGATGATGCGGTAGTTTAAGCGTTGAAAGCCATCCTCGCCCGCATTTTTGCGGTCCAAAAGTTTTTAATGTCATGAATTATTTTGGCATTTACCGAGGCCAGCATTTCAAATGGCTCTCTCTATCTTCAAAATGCCCCGTGAACATGGCCAAGAAAGTCTCTGAAACCTATTTGGAACCTCATGAGTGATCATGAGCAGTGGTTTTTGCTGTACGTTCCGTCGGAGGCGCGACCGAACTGGCACGGGATTCAGGAAAAGCCGAATTGCGGTTCTGCAAATATTTTCAGGCACTGCTCGCGTGTGTCCGCTGTAAATTGAGACACGGAATTCCCCGCTAGAATGATCGCTTCGCTAGTCTTTGTGGTTCCAGGCGTGGGACAATCGCTTAATGGAGTTGCATTTCCGGCTCCGCTCCGCATCCCATCCGGCTCAATCATTCCTCCGATCGCAACGAATTATTCCCCTCGTAGGACTCGCTCATTGAGATCAATTGCGTATAACTTCATGGAAGTTCATCTCATTTTAACATATATTCCAGCTTCCCGTGCATACGACTATGGCCTCATCAATGTTGGCGATCACGGCGCCAAGCTACACCGACCCTTCGGGATACCAACTCTCTACACTACCCCAACCAATTATCTCCGACCCTACGGAGGTACTATTTCGGGTTCACGCAGCGAGTATCAACCCAGTCGATGTGAAGAAAGCGGCTGGTATTTTTAAGCTTGCGGTAAAGGAGAGGTGCGTGAAGCGCTCCATGACTCCCATCGTTATGCGCATTACCTGATTTGATTGAGCATAGCTTTCCTTACCAGATTGGTTATGATTGCGCAGGGGTCGTAACCCAAGTCGGCAAAGACGTAAAAGGCATCAAAGTTGGAGACGAAGTTTTTTCTCGCTTACCAGAAGCAAGCCGAGGTAAGTACTAGAGTTGGTATAGTGGCCTTGAATTCCGGTTTTAATCCTTCGTCTCACAGGAGCATGGAGCGAATATGCCAAGTGCCCGGAACGTTTTGTTGCATTGAAGCCCAAGAACCTTTCATTTGAGAATGCTGCATCGTTGCCGTTGGCCGGCATGACGGCGTTGCAGACATTAAGTCGATATCAAGGTTCGCTTGCGGGCAAAACGGTATTCGTTCCCGCGGGCTGTAAGTTTTGTCTGTTGACACTCAACCTAAGCAAAACCACTGACAGATTCACAGTGAGTGGCACAGGAGCATATGCTTGCCAGCTGGCGAAGAAGGTTTTCAATGCCGGCAAGGTGATCACCACCGTCTCGACTTCAAAGGTTGAACAAGTGCTCAAGTTGTTGGGCGAAGGCACAGTCGATCAAGGTGCGTATTTCATGACAAGCCTTTTGTTTGTACCCTGACTAATAACAAGGTTTTAGTGATTGATCATACCAAGGACGACCCGAAAAAGGTGATTCCACGCGCATCAGTAGACTTCATCTTAGACACGACGGGTGAAGCTATGTCTTTTCTCCATCTCATGGTTCCGTCAACCAGTATGATCGTCTCCATCGCAACGCAGCCATCTGGTACCCAGCTTCAGCAGTCCAGCGTGATGAAACGACCTGACAATCCGCGACTTCCGTGGTTTGGGCGCTTGTTCTTGGATATATTCGACACGTATCGCAGGACACGGGCTCGAAGATGGGGTGTGGCATACGAGTATTTGTTCCTTGACCCCAACGCGAAGGACCTCGAGACACTGGCTAGATACGCGGAGGAGGGAAATATTACGCCGGTCGTTGGGTGTACGGTGAATCTCAAAGATGTTGACGAAGTCAAGGCTGCATGTGGGACAGTATACAATGGGAAAGGAGGGGTAGGCAAGACAGTGATCAGGATTGGGTAGGCCCCAACAACAGAAGATGGGCCCAGTGAATAATGGTTCAGTTGATCACTCAGCTGCACCTTTAGGGGGGGGAGATGGGTTGGCGGAGAAATGTGTATTTCTAGATATCTTACTTCACGCCGCGGCATGAATAGGGTTTATATGAAGGCATTGTGTAGTTTTCAACAGTAAGGGTTTTTGTTCGACTGAAGATGGACAACAAAAACATCGGAAATAAGAAGGCGTAGAAAATACCGTAACGACTGCGGAAACAACTACTAGAACTACACAAATAATGAAGGTAGCCTAAAAGACAGTGAAGTTGATGAATGACGCAAAGTTTAAATGATGAAATCCATAGCTGTCCACGTTGTGTTATTTTTGCAAAGCGTACCCTGACATCAAACAATACTCAGGCCTTCTACGCCACTGTAGTGAGTAACCCACAACAACCATCAAGGTGTTGTAAGAATGTTCTCGGCAAAAGAAAGATTGTGCATTATATAAAGCTCATGTGTTCCCCTTTGGACAAGTTCGATCTGCATTTACGAAGCAAATTCAACACACTTCAATCCACCATGGAATCAACGACATTTCATCTGTTTCCTAGACTCCCATATGGCATTCGGTACATGATATGGAAAGAGTACTACGACGAGCCCCAAGACTGGATGTCATTGTTCCAGCCTTATCCCAAATTATGGTTTTCGTTGAGCAACTACCAACGGCCAGACAGTCGGTGTCCGTTTGGGACGGGCGACGATACAATATGCAGAGAGGCGGAAATTGTAGGAAACAAAGTTCGGCCGATATTCGAATGCCGACAGGGGCGCACTTCTCACATCCGGTTTTTCCGAATAAACTGGGATACCGATCATGTCTGGCTTATACCTTCAAGCAATTATCTGGAGATTATATTCGCTTGCAATGATGCGCTGAGATCGCCGCCTGATTCTCAACCCACTTGGCTCAGCAACGTACAAACACTGGTTCTCGAAGTCTCTACTATCAGCGATAGAAGATCACAACCTCTACCGCATTATCTTCTTTGGGGTATCCGTTTCTACCTTAATAGCCTAAGGAAGGTTATATGGGCAGTCAAAAGTTCAACGGCCGAAGATTACATTCAAGAGTTGTGGTGCTACTTCCTGTTGAGATGGATAATCCGTCAACACCCACAATGGCAGAATGTAGAATGCCAGATACTGGACAACGAGCAAACATGGCGTTATGCATCCTGGCACAAGAGAGTACGAGAATGGAATGAGTATGTTGTGGAAGCTAAGAAACTAGACCTTCACACCTGTGAAGTATCAGAGGTCAGCGAAATCGAAGGTGCTGAGCAAAGCTTCAGAAACTCGTTTGGCGGTATACTGGAGGAATGCGGGAAAAAGGGTGGTTGTCAATCCGTTTTCTACTAGTGTACTTGGAAGTTCCATCTTGTTTTCCGTTTTGACTGGAATGCCATCGCGCTTTCCAGACTCATGATCGTTGATCTTTGCCTTAAGAGCACAATTTTGAAATAGGCTGGGGACCGTTGCGGATATTAGACTTAATTCAAATTACAATTTTAGATTTCAGCGAAGGTGTCTAACAACGTTTGCTACACCATCATGGTTTCGCAGGAGCAGCATATATGGACTGTTGACGGAAACACGATCAGGATTTGTCTATCTTCATGAAACGCTAGACCAATTATGACGTGGCCTGATGCGAGAGTTTGTATCCAGTAGGGTATGAAGCACGTACAGAAGCTCCCAAGGTGACCGGTAAATGTTCAGAGCAGTGACTCACACAGTAATAGCCCCTACAAAACAAAGCACATCCCATCCGGAAAGAGGTCTCTACACTCGCGGACAACATCACACACATTGTCTTTCATCATGGCGCCAACGACGTTTCATCTCTTCCCTCAGCTGCCATACGACATCCGATATGAAGTATGGAAAGAATACTACAGTCGCCCCATACACTGGGATACGCAACACGTATTCAATCCAGACCTCTGGTTTGAATGGACTCGCATTCAGTTCCGTTTCGACTCTTCTTACCAGCCCCAGCAGTACTGCGATGACGAGATATGCAAAGAGGCAAACATTGTCAGAGACATCGTCCGTCCGATCTTCGAAATCCCGCAATGGTACAAGAGGCCTTACTACGAGCTTGCTCGTATCAACTGGGACACAGACTATGTTTGGTTCCCGCCAGCACAGCCTCTCTTAGGGCTTCAGCTGGCGTTTAAAAAGACTTCATTGCTCAAAGAGACGCCTGCTACTACATCTACTTGGCTCAGCAATGTACTAACACTGGTTTTATCCTCAGGCCCCCCCAGGCCTTCTCAATACCGGAAACTCCCTTTTGACTTGTTCTGGGATCTTCGAACTTGCTTTGAAAGCCTAAGAAGGGTTGTATGGGCAGTCGATCCGAAGTTCACACTGGGCGATGAAGAGTATACACACCAGCTGCACTTTTACTTCATGTTAAGATCGATGATGCGCAACTACCAGCCGTGGAGAACTGTGGAATGTACATTTTCGGAAATTTCTTCTTCTTTGATACCCCACCCACAACCCGAATGGAGTGATTACATCCAAGAAGCGAAGGCACTTGAGCTACAAGACTTCGACGTATCAGAGACGAGCGAAATTGAAGGTGCCGAGCAAGGGTTTCGCCATTGGAAAGACGAGCCGAGCCCTATTTCCCTTAGCTTTTACTGTCAACTTTTGGTGCCGACGGGCTGTTAACACGTCTTGCGATGTCAGGGGCATGTTCAATCGGGAATATCTTCTCGATTGGGAAAGGCTTCCACCGGAAACGAGTTCTAAGCCTATCTTTGGCGGGATAGCATAGAGGAAGAGAATATATGTATAAATAAACAATCATCTCACTTAATCGCTCTTGACCAACCACATACCTTAGCCCTGATTCAGGAAGACCATTGCATACGACACAAGATGGGCAGCACAGAAGCCTCACACAAGATCACCGTGACCCTTGGTCAGGTGGCCAACATGATTGACCACTCACTCCTCCACCCGACCATGACCGATACCGACATCCTGGAGGGTCTTCGCATCGCTAAAAAGTACAATGTCGCCACAGCATGCGTAAAGCCTTACCTTATCCCCCTCGCCAAAAGCGAACTTGAAGGCAGCGACGTGCTGGTCTGCCCGGTCATCGGCTTCCCCCACGGCAGTAGCACCACTGAAGTCAAGGTCTTTGAAGCCGAAGGCGCCGCTCACGATGGCGGAAAGGAGATCGACATGGTTGTCAACATCGGAAAGGTTCTCGGTGGCGATTGGGACTATGTCGCCAAGGAAATTCGCCAGATCAATGAAGCTGTCGTCAAGCACGGTGCCATTCTCAAAGTCATTTTCGAAAACGACTATCTTCAGGAGAAGCACATTATCCGACTGTGTGAGATTTGCTCGGACATTGGTGTTGGCTTCGTCAAGACATCAACGGGATACGGCTTTGTAAAGCAGCCTAATGGGCTGTACACATATGCTGGGGCAACAGTGCCGCATCTCAAGCTCATGAGGCAGCATTCGAAGCCGGAAGTACAAGTCAAGGCGGCGGGAGGGGTGCGAACGTTGGATGACCTGCTTCATGTCATGTCTTTGGGTGTCACACGAATTGGGGCTACGGCCACGGTTGCGATCATGGAAGCTGCTGTTGCTAGAGGTATCACGGACAAGCCGACGGCAGTGGAGTTCAAGCCTATCAGCGACGCAGCGTCTGGAGGTTATTAAGAGGACAGAAAGTTTTTGCTTCGACCTTTCTCACATTGTGTTACCATAGAATTCAAGGTTCCAATACAAGTAGATGACCAGATCTCCGATTTCACATGATCCTTTTGTCGTATTCCTTTGTTCACTGTTGGAAAAATGAGTCCCAGCGATAAAAGACTACAGGCGAATACATCGACCCACAGGCTGTCCATTACGACAATTTTGGGACTTTACTTTTGAACATGAAATAATGGTATCATGTGATGACGCGAATGGAATCAGTATCCCCAAATTTGCAGCGGAGCTTGATGTGTTCGCATGAGTTGTGGCTGTCTTACATCGGGATTGCTCCGTTCCGGTGGGCAGAATTGCCAGAAAGGGACTAGCGTTACCTGGAGCGCTCCGGCGGAAGTCTCTTCTCCTCAACACCGTGGGAACCTCATCCCTTTCTACACCGGTCTAGGCAATACTCTGACTGACATTGCCATTCGAATATCAAAATGGAACCGCATGCTGCGTCACCAAATCCACCGGCCAGACGCCAACGCAAGAAGGTTTCTGCAGCCTGTCAAAGATGTCGGCGACAGAAGCTCAAGGTATTTTTTGATCTGCCCCTGAACAAGAAAATCAAGCTGACCACATGATTGTTTTAAGTGTGATGTTCAACGGCCTTGCACCCTCTGTGTCAGAGCTGAAGTGGAATGTGTCAATGAGGATACCGACCGGTGGAGAATCCAGGGTCCTCAACTCACCCGGAATCGGCCCCGCAGAACGGACGCAGACAAGGATGACACCGCAAGTCTCCGGCGGACCAAACGAAGTCGGCGAACTGTTACCGGAGAAGACGCGGCGACGGAGACCGCATCACCCGGATCACCGAAAGCGGTGGTTGTTGCTGCATCACGGACAGCCTCCTCGCCTTTGGAAGATGATGGTCCCTACGTCGGGCTAGATTCCCCTGCCCCGCAGGTAGCCTCGGTGGAGAGGAGTAGGCGATCATGGCCATCGAACTCTGCAGCGATGACTTTTATGGATGAGGTATTGAACTCGCCCAATGCTGCCTTCAAGACGGAAGCTGACACATGCGGGTAGGCTTTTCAACGTCAAGATGCGACAACACCAGGAGAAGCCGACACATCTGCTTTCGCTGCGAACCAATGGTCAGCGAGAAGCATTGCCACAAATTCTTCGCGGACAGAAAACGGCGTACCACTGAGACCAAGCCCGCACACTCCTGGCCTCTGCCAATCGAGGCTACATCGAAGCAAGAGGTCAAGCGATGCCGAGCGTGCTCTTTTGATGACCTTGCCCAAGAAACAAGTCGCAACGCTGCTGATCGACAACTACTTCGATAAGATCCATTGGTGCTTTTTGATCTTCTTTCAAGACGAGTTCAAGGAGCGCTTCGAAAACCTGTTTACTAGTATTTCTCGCGATGATGGGATCAAAGGAGCGAGCATCAGTTTCGTCAGTCTCGTGCTTGGCGTATGCCTTACTAGCCTACCGTATTTGAGCGACGAGAAACGGTCTGAGTTAGTCTGTTTAGCCGTTGATTCAGCATCACTGCAAGAACAAATACTGTCCATACTGAGACTGAAGCTCCTAGACTATGTCTCTTCCGGGTCTATCGAGGCGGTGCAGACATGCATCCTCTTGGGGTGCTTTCACTTGTACCATGGAGAACCCGAGTTGGCCTGGCCGATATGCGGCTGTGGCTTGCGAATCGCTCAAGCACTCAACCTTCATAGGGCTGCAGCTGATCAACGATCTGGAGTACCCGATTTCGATGACCCAGTGACCAGGGCTATTGAGACCAAGAGGCGATGTTGGTGGTCAATCTATGAGACGGAGACTATCTGTTCTATGCTATACGGGTTTCCCTTGAGTATAGTTGATGAAGATTGTGACGTGGAGTTACCTGATCCATATCCTTTGCGATCGAAGGACCCATCTTGGAAATCCAACGAATGGAAAGCAGCAGGTAAAGCGACACTCTTATCATTCAAACGAGCTATGGCTGAGTTGACGATAATTGTCAAATCTGCTCTTTCTCGCCTGTATGGAACACAACGAAGATTGCGAGAGAAAGACCAGATGGATAACGCCAGCGGGTCTGACCTGCAGCTTTTGATCAGTACGATAGCCGAATTGGATGGCAGGCTTAAGACATGGCGAGACCATCTTCCTGTGGAACTTCTATTGGGCGGCGCAATCTCCAAGTCACAAACAGAGAGCCTCGTTGGCGGGATACCCGAAAGCTTAAGAAGTAGCTTTCCTAGCCAAACCAAACGACTCCAACTGTTTGGAGTCCAATCGCTTTCTCTCAAACTCGCTTTTGAGAACGCGAGAATTCTGGTGCATCGACCTCTTCTTTCCTACAAGACGATGGCTATCGCGGGACATTCTCGTAATGCTCTACCTCTCCGCTCAGCTGTTCGAGCATGCCGCGACGCCGCTTTGCAGATAGCTCAGGTTGGGTCCACTTCGGAATTCAACGAGGTCGCTGGTACATATGCTGTATCATTCGTGGCTTTACATCTCTTCACAGCCGGGGTAGCTCTATCGATATTAACCAGCCTTGAACCGCTGAGTCGAGAGTCTTTCGAGTCAAAGATGGGCCTTCGCCAACTGATTTCCATGCACTCTCAACTGAAGGCAAAGTCTATCGTCGCCGAGCAAGGTTTCGAAATCCTCAAGAGGCTGATGACGCTTGTAATGTCAAAGGAAACCGAAAGGATGCTTCAATTTGAGGGCCCAGCAGATACACAACACGGATGCAGCTCAGATTCGACTCAGCGGACATCTGACTCAATTGAAGTAGCAACACAGAGTAATTCTGCCACACGCGCTGGAGAGAGCCTTCCCTCTACAGATTTCCAAGGGACATCTCAGGACGATTTAATGGACGACTCAAGACCCGACATTCCGGAAGACCCAGCACAAATGGCTCGCTCAGATCTTGGATTCTGCGAAGACCCTCTGGTGACTCAAGCTCTTCTGGATTTCGAACAAGGTAAACCCATACGCCTTTCGTTAGTGTGCATTCGCTAACATTCATCGCAGCCATGAGCTACGATCCAAATGGTGTACTTGGAGGTGGGCTGGCAGAATTTGGTGATCCGTTCGTAGAGAGCTGTTTCGGTGCACATGATCAAGGCTGGATTTGGAACCCAAGAAATTGAGTCTTCAGCCCATGGCACGTCCGCTCACCCCGACACAAAGTTTGTCTCCAACTAGATTCTCGTCAAGTAGCAGTTTAGTTTATAAATATTCCGATGCAGAGTTTAGCCTGACAGAGAGCGAAAAACATCCGCCATTACCTCAGGAGCAAATGCGAAATCCCTTTCCACTTTCTCATTCAGCCCCCAAGCCTCGGCGCCGCTGTCTAATACAGTCGCCCTTCGCATGTCCCGTTTATGGTTGCCAATAACTGGCGTGCCCCTGTGTAGTGTGCAGGTGTTATCCCACATCACCAGATCCCCCACTTCCGTCCACGGAATAGACACTACATACTTATCCTGCGTGACATGCTTGTACAAGAAATCCAATTTTTCTTTTCCCTCATCCTCGCATAGACCATCAATGTGGTGACAGTGCGACGGAACGAAGAGATTCATTCGTCCGCTGGGTTCGTGCAGCTGGGCGATCTTATGCTTGCTCATAGGGTGGTTTCCCGGCGTGAGCTTAGCGAAGAACTCAGGGCATGCTGTCTTGCGTGAGTGCCAGAAGGAGTGATTCGCAATGTAATTCTTGCTGAGAAGCTCTTCCTTCCAAGGTTCCGGAAGGTCGTCCCAGGCAGTTCGTGTATCGGCATAGTCGGTGTTGCCACCAGCTCCTTGAGGAGGAATGTCATGCGCTAAGAGAATAGAATAGCTTGCTCGATGAGCATTGAAGCTGCTGTCGACGTGGAACAATGTATTTCCCTTGCCTTATCGTAAGCAAAGATGGTTCATCTGGAAATTCTAAAGCCCAAAACATTGCTCACCTTGCTAATTTGCGCTCTGGGATCTGCTAAGCCAATGATGTTGCCACTCGCGTCAATGTTGCCTTGGTCAGTCAACTCAGGCATCTTCAGCCGGGACTGAGCTCCAGTATCCTTTCGCCGCTCAAGCTCGCCAAAGTGTTCAGCGAACGCGACGTGCCTTTCGTCGTCCAATCCTGTTGCTGGAAATACCAAGACGCCATACTGCCGACGGGGTTTCAGCGAAATTCCTCTCGAGACTGGGCAAAGTTCCAAGTCACCTTTGCAATTGTGGCCTTTATCGCCTCCAATGTTTCGACTGGAATCGGCTTTGAGAAGTCTACACCCAACACCTTCGCCGCGAATGTAGGATGAAGAGGCTCAATCGTGAGAGACATGATGACTTGGCGATGTTCAGCTATAGAAGAATGTCGATAGTTCGGGAGATAGTTCAGGCGAAGTTCATAGAGTTCACTTGGCACGAACGGGACCCCTGATTTACCCCAGGCTTTTCACCGCCTGCCGGCGTCATCGTCGCCGGGTTCTCGTCACGTTTCGATATCGCTCATCTGTAGGACCCACGCCCATTTATTAGAGTTTCGCCTTATCTCAACTTCTACCGTTCCACGAGTCATTTCCAGTCACGTCCGCACCCAATGCGTCGGATATCTCCATGACAAGCTTCAGACCGACAGGGCAACCCCTGGCTGAAGAAATGTCGTTTTTCGGACCAGTCGAGAAGCCGCAATTTCTTGTCAACGCCAGAACATTACTTGATTCCTCCCTCATGCACAGCAACCTCTCAAAACACGCCACGCAACGCGACGTCAGAAGCCCCGGTGGTAGTTGCAGCCAGGTTGTCGAGATGGGAGTGCGATCTTTGCTCAACCCAGTGTTGGGCCCGGAGCGCCGCCAGCCGGACCGCGTTCCGACAGACGCGGTATTCCAGCTTTCGGCAATGGATAGCTCGTGGATGATGCGCATGATGATCATGAGCTGGTCGATGTGTTTTCACGACGTCCTCGACGCTGATAAGCTTCACGATTCGCTTACCGAACTTCTGAATATCGGGCATTGGAAAAAGCTAGGTGGTCGACCTCGGTTGACTGTAAGTTCCCAATCCCCTAGTTCAACCGGACTGCTCCTACTAAACTCTGACACATACCTAGAAGGATGGCCAAATCGAGCTTCACATTCCGGACGTTTTTACTCCATCTCGCCCGGCAGTTCACTTTACTACCGAGCCAAACCCTGCAAGCGTAAAGCTTCACCCACTCTCTTCTACTATCCCCTCGTACTTCCCCCAGACAACAGCAGGACCGAGAATCATCGACACTCCCGAGAATTTGCATTCCATTCTCGCCGGCCCTGAAGCAGCCAAGTCATTCGACGACTACAACTTCACAGATCGGCCTGCCTTGTCACTCCACATCATCACATTCACTGATGCAACGTTTGTGACAATCACCTATCCTCACAGCATCACGGACGGCATGGGTCGACGCGAACTTGTCGAAAATTGGTGTCGCATCTTGGCCGGTCGTAGGTCTGACGTTACACCAATGGCTTTTCCAACCTTGGATCCCATGGCTAAAGTTGCGAAAGCATCTCCTCCACGCTACGATGAACCATTCACTTGGGAGCATAAGCGTCTTCAAGGCTGGGGAGTGGTCCGGTTCACCTTTGGTATTCTGTGGTATTTGATCAGGAATCGTATCCGCCAGAGGAATCTCTTTGTCCCAGCTGCTTATTTGGCAACGCTACGTAAGCGTGCCGAAGAGGATCTCGAGAAGGACGGACAAGCGACGGAGCGTTTGAGTGATGGGGATATCCTGACAGCATGGCTATCGCGCCTCGCATGCTCCCACATAAGCGAAAAGGATACCTCAAAACCCATCTCTATTTCTACAGCCCTGGATCTCCGAGGCCGTCTTCATGAGAACGACATGCCTCCAAACTTCGCTTACGTCTCCAATGTTGTTGCTTACAACTGGACCAATACGAACGCCTTTGAGCTCCTTCGGGGAACATTCGGCAGGGCTGTGGCACTAATTCGGAACTCAGTGAGATCGCAGCTCACAGATGCGCAGGTTTACGCCTCGACTCGTCTCACTTACAACGCCGTTGCAGAGAGTGGCAGCACGAAGCAGTTTACTGAGCCAAACGGCTTTGTGGTCTCCGTGTCTAACGTGTCCAAGGCGAGATTCCATGAAGTCATTGATTTCAGACCAGCTATCAAAGGCGGTGGCAGTGATGAGATTCGCACAATACCGAGAGGCAAGATCGTGTGGCAGTGCAATACCCCGAAGATGAAGATGCACCCACCGTGTCTGATCTACATACAGGGCAAGGACCATGGTGGCAACTATCTCGCACAGATGTTGGTCTCTGAGAAGACCTGGCGCCTGATCGAGAAGGAAATTGAATCCTCAGTCTGAATTCAGATCTTAATATTGAAATCTCTCTATGTGTAGCAAATCGAACAACTATACTACATGCCCTTTGACTTGCTTCAGAGTCTTCACATTAATATCCCGCCAAGCAAGAGTCGCCACGAAGCCTACCGCCCAGATGGTAGTAGCGGCAATCAACATCCATTTCTGAGCTTCACCATACGCCAACTGGAGGGCTTTACGAGTATCAGAACCCACTGGGTACATCAATTGTGTGGCGAGGTCCGAGTAGATTGGCACGAAATTGGCCAGCTCTTCCGTTGGCAGGTTCTCCATCAGCTTCTTAGCGAACACATCCTGCCAAATTGCAGCGGATACAGTCAGACCAATGGCTCCGCCAATCTCAGCGAACATGGCTTCGGTGGCTAGCACGACAGCCACATGCTGGTGTGAAGCGGCCGCCATCGCAGCAAGTCCTGCTGTGATGATGATGGTACCACCCGCAATGGCGATGATTATCTGACATAAGATGATGAAGCCGATGTTTTGATCAGGCTGACGAAAGTAAATCATGAGACCCATACCGAAGATGTGTAACGGAATGGCGAACCACAAGGTGATGATCTTGAAGCGACCGGTGCGGTGTACTATCCACCCTACGACAAGCCCCCAAAGTGTGTTGCCGATAGCGTAGATGTTGTAGACGTAACTGGCTTTGGTGACATCGAGATTATTGACAACCATTAGGAAGGAACTGAAGAAGCTGTTCCAGATGAAGTAACTGATAAAAAGGACTGCTGAAAGACCACACGCACCGATGACGGTTCGATCCAATAAAAGAGAATAGGGGATAAACGTGATGGGGGCAAACGCTCTCTCCCATATGACAAATGCTGTGAGAAGAACAACACCAAAGACCAATAGGCAGATGATGAGTGGAGATCGCCATCCTTCCTCCTGCATGGAGTAGATGTTGAAGGGCAGAAGGAACAATGCCAAGCCAGCTGACATTAGGAAGAGCCCTACGGCATCAAATTCTCGGCAGTAATAAGATAATGATTCCAACGTTGTCCGCTGACTGGTGCGCTTGGGTATTACTCCGAGTCTCTTGGCTTTGGTGAGATTGTATGCGAAGAGTCCGAATAGGGGAAGGGTGAAGACAAGTACGACAATCGAGAAAGTGCCAAACGCCCATCGCCATCCTGGTCCTGTGAGGTAGGCTTGGGAAATCGGGCCGGAGAGCCACGTGGTGATGAGATTTGGTGAGGCAGTGAAAGCCAGCATAAGTCCCCTATTTCGCAAAGACGAAGTGTCTGCAACAAAAATAGAAATGCTGTACAGCAGTGCGTTCTGACCAACTGTGTAAAAGACTTGAGCAGCTGCATAAGTCTCCACACTGTTGCAGGCAGCCATCATCACCAGTCCGAGGGTGGCTATGAAGATGGACAAGAGGTAGCCCTGCGGTCGTCCGAAAACATCCAGGATCTTGGCGAGGGTAAGTTTGAAGACTCCGCCGATGATGCCACTGATGACGGCGACGGTTGGTGTCAAGGAATGCTGCTGAAAGGCGGATGTAACAAAAGGTGTGAGGGCGGCTAGGGCACCTTGCTGCATGAGTATGACGAAGTAGATGACCCAGATCATCACATAAGCGATGACCAAGGAGGATGTGGTCCATGTCGAAGTTACGGCTTCTATGTTCTGAACACCGGTCTGAGCCTCAGGCTGGTCCGTATCAGACCCCGGAGACGCGTCATTGATGTGAGCTGTTGTGCTGATACGTGTGTCGGTCTTGTCGATTGTCGTGCTTGGGGGCGACGGCGATGGCGATGGCTCAGTCTGTGGGTCCTTCCCTTGATCCATGCTGGCGAACGTTCTAAGGATCAGAGGGATGGAGAAGACGAGGTGAACGGGGCAGAAACAGTATCATTATGAATGTCTTCGTCGAATCTCAGTAAAGAAGCCTTCAGCGACTCTACCCTCGTTTTTCTAATCTTACTGTTGATTTGCTCAAACTTGCTCACCGATGCGTGCTGACGCTTACGATATTTCGGCAGGATCAAAAGTGTGGTGTGAACGAAGGTTGCCGAGCAGGGATGAAGATGACGGGACCTGATCCACAACATGGAAAATGTGGTTCAGGACCGAACCGCTGCAATGGGGTCAGCACGGGTTCGTCCCGGTTAGCCCGGCCGTCGGCACGGCGTGGGGGAGTGAGCCAGGATTCTGCATTACCCCAATCGGCGAACACGCAGGCTTGGACCACAGATTCCCTGAGAAAATGTAAGATTTTGATCCACAACATGCGCCAAGGGCTTCGGAGCAGAGAATGCTACAATCCTGTCAGGTAGGCTGTAATGCTTACAGCCTCAAATGTGCTCAACACAGCAGCGCTAGTGATGATTTCGGTGACCACATGTGCAACACTGTGGCGAAAAACGTATGCTTCAGAGTGAAATACTGACCTGCATGGCTACAAGTATGTCCCATAGAATCTGGTGAAGAAGTGTTCCGCAGTCAGATCATGTATCGAGGTAAGGCTGAACGCGTCTACCAACTTTGTGGGACAATTTCAAGTGACACACATCTCGACATTGTGGATAACAGAAAGGATTTGTTGTCTATGACTTGTGTATGGAGACTTTTGCTGTCCCGATCTCGAACCGTCCACAGAGCATCCCATCTGTGGACATTTTCTTCGGGGCAATGGTTTCATCTCGTGCAAGATACCTTCCCTACAGTCTAATGTAACGTTCTATCTATGAGACCCCAATGAACGAAATAATAAGTAATGCAACCGCCTCAGTGATTAACCAAGAAAAGCGGCGTACTTGGTAAACTCTTCGTCAGCCGTCAACATTTCGAACTCTTCAGGGAGCGTGCCTAACAATAGCTCCACAGAACCATCATCACGCATAGGGTGGATAAGCAGCAGCCTGAAAGCCGTGTTGAACCGGTCCATCAGAATTCTCATGGTGTCAGGTGTGCCCTGGTTTTCAAAGAACTCATCGCCGAACGAAATCTCGGTCGTCTGGAAAAGGATCAAGTTGTTCATCATGCAGTGCATCCCCGCCAACCCCATGCAAGCGTTGGTGAGCATGCCATAGTCGGGCACAGACTGGAGCAGAGTGAAGGCGTCATGAACCAGGGAAGGATTGATATGAGTGGCTGCCTCGCGGAAGAGGTAAGCAATGCGCCCAAGGCTTGTCTCCGGTGAGCAAAGCTCTTCAACAGGCATGTAAGGTCGGTTGGTCACCAAGCAGCTGCCCATGAAAGATGAGGGCAGCAGAGAAGAGAAATAGGGGCGAGCATCGATGGGCATCTCCACAATCGCGTTGTCTTCTGGCCCGAATTCTTCGCCATGTATCTCCTTGGCAACGCGGTAACGGGCCTTGATCGCAGCCCGCCAGAAGAAGGCCTGAATAACATCGCCGACGGATGTCACAGCCCCCTTGGCCTCCGGGTCAGCAAGAACCATTTGTCGAAGCTTCTCCACATTTTCGCTCGAAACGAGAAACGTAGTAGGCTTCATGTGACGACCGTCAGCCGGAGGAACGGGTGGCCAGGCAAACTTGCGGGGGAATGGGGGTGGTGTGGGGAATGTCGACTCCGTGAGACGCGCCTCCACCTTCACCGGACCATTGCCGTTCTGAAGCTCTGAAGGATCTGGGAATCCTAAGAATCCCCAGACATTGGGGTCCACCTGATGTGCAGGCTTAGCATACCCTTCGAGCTCGTAGAGGATGTGAGGCAAGCTTCTATTGAGGCTCTCAGGATCGAGCCACTCGCAGGTAGCCGACATGTCGCCCTGAACATATCTGCAGCTCTCGGCCCAGACTCTCAGGGCTGTGATAGCTCCCATCCCATCAACTGCCGCGTGATGGATGTTGATGGCGAGAATGCACCCACCCTTGATGAAGTTCGCCTGCGCAACAAGAACCTCAGCCGGGAGCGTCGGAAACCAGGGGCAGTCGATGACGACTTCATCGCTGAAGGCCGAGGCCACAAAGCCGGCAGATCTCAATTCTTCGAACGATGGAAGCACGTTGGAGAGATCCTTGTAGCGTAGCTGCCTGAGCGGAGAGTTCTTGAAGTTGGTTTCAGGGGTCGCGGTTGACGGAATTAGGGGCAAAGTGATGCGAAGATCGCCATTCTTGTACCCCGTCTCATGCGGTGAGCAGCGCATGACCTTTCCTTCAAGTTCTGGAATGAGTTCAAGAGTCCTGCCAAGCCCATCGTGCAGCCTGTTGAAAACATCTTCGTACCGTGCGTCTTCGCGCAGCGGTATGTAGAACTTCATGCCCACGTAAATGTTGGGGTTCATCAAATCAAACGGGTTGACCTTGGGTGACAGACGCGACTTGTGGGCGTTCATCATACTCCTCATCTTCACCACAGTGGGATCCAAATTCTGGTCCGACGCGGAGACATTGTTCTCCGCCGCATGTTTCTTCTCGGCCAGCAACTTCGCGATCGTGACAGCAAATTTGCCGAGCGTGGGGCTAGCATATAGATGCCGTGGCGAAAGCTTGTCTTGTAGCCCAGTCGCTGCACGGATGATCTTGACGACTCGAAATACCAGGAGCGAGTCTAGGCCTAAGCTAAAAACATCTGCATCGGGTGACGCGTTCTTGAGACCTTGCGAAAAAGAGCCGAAGATTTGTCTGATCGCTTGAGTGATAGACTCGATAGAGCTAGTGTCGATGACAATGAATTGCGAATCTTCCTCTTCCAAGCGGGAATTATAGAAGCGCTCGATGTAGTCGGCGTAGAGCTCCAGCGTAGCACGTCGCTTGATAGTTCGCTTGTCGGTACGAATGAACGGTTTGTCTGGCTCAGCGAAGGTGATGTAGTCTCTATGAAGCTGGTTCTTGTGCGTAGAGAGTGAGTTGGCTCGCTCTACAGTGACCCAGATGCTGTCCAAAAGTTCGGTCGTTTTTGAGGATGGATCCTTCAACTCGATTAGAAGACCTGCCTGAGGTTTACTTGAACCGATCTGCGAGCGCGTCAGACATGAATCCTGCGTGCTGACGACAAACAACAATTTTCTGCAAAGCTTGCTTACCATAAGACAGCCTTCAACAGCAGAGTGGGTAGTGACTAGTGCCTCTGTTTCTAAGGGAGAAATCTTGTACCCATTAGAGAGAACGACAACGTCGTCGTTTCTCCCCTTGTACGCCCAAAGACTTGGCTTGGTTGGATGCTGCGTGTACAGATCCTTCAGATTGATACTCTTCTGGTCGGGAAATGTGTGGAAGATCCCTTGAAAGAAAGGGCCATGCTCATTTCGATGGACCCAATGCTCGAAGACACCGGGTTCGACTTCCTTGAACTCAAAGCCCGAGAAAGGATGGAATGCAAAGTAGAGCCAATCTTCTCTGTCCACCCAGAGATTGCCAATGAACAGGCCTTCTGTTGTGCCCGTGAGGTTCAGAACCCGGATGACATTGTTGACTTTGGACGCGCTGACGGGACTGACAGGACCTGGAAACATGATTTCGTCAGCTTGAGATCAAGTACCAGAGGACTTTGTTAACGTATACTCACCACCAGATGCACAAATGAACTTGGAAGGCCGAAGCTTGGGCAAAACGTCTGGGGTTTCTCCAAGCTCATCCACCAGCGAGGGCACCATGCTCCAGATATCGACCTTTGCGTGTTCTGCAAGGGAGTCTATGAGGTTCATGTTGGGTATGACACCAGGCGGTCCCAAGATGCAGTGAAGATTGAAGAGCGAAGGCAAGAGAATATCCATAATAATACCAGCTCCCTAAGTTTGGTAAGCACGTGGATCAGATTGACTCTAGGAGAAAGTACTAACATGACTCATGGGAAATGATGAGTAGATCCTATCACCATCGTTCCAGTTGTCTGTCCACGGGACCATACCGCCATCTCCTTCTGTTGGTGGAAGGAGCCGGACAGCATCCATTGTGCCGATGAGAGCGTGAGACCATACAATAGGCTTCGGTAGCCCCGTTGAACCCGACGTGTGGAGAAGGCAGAAAGGCTCTTGGCTCGCCTCGTCGAAAGTCTTGCAGAAGCGGCATGGCTCAGTGCCTTCCGCATCAAGCAGTTCATCAAGCTCAGGCAAGTCGAGGACCTGCATGTCCCGCTGTTGCAGGAGGTCGTCAACGAGAGGGTAGCTCGGCCCACGAGGCTTTACCCAGATGTTGCATTTGGCCGCTTTTAGAACAGCAAGAGCCCCCTCGGTACTGTTCTTGGCGGACAAGAACAAGGCCTGGTCACACCCAACAATGTAAGTTACTTGACAATGTCCATCCACGAAGCCTGACGTACGGTGCAGTTGGCCTTGACACAGGCATATGTCAACAGAATATGGCGGAGGTCATCTGATACATATTAGTCAAAAGCAGCACGGTTCTGGGAGATCAGCACTTACGAGGTCCAATGTAACCGACGGGTTGGATCTCTCCGGTGTTTCCAACTTGTTTGTGAAGCCACCAAGCCGTCTTGTCAACAGCTTGAGCGAGTTGGCGAGCAGAAACGTCATGAAAGCCTTGACTGATGTCCGAAGACTTTGCTACTGAAAAGACAAGACGATTTGGTTCAGTTGTAGCCAAATCATCAAGAATGTGAGGGATAAGCCTCTTGCCAGTGTTCTTTGGGATTGCCATTGTAGTGAAAGATAAAGGGAGAAAGTTTGGATGAAAAAGACGCGGCTTGATTCGAACAGTATTTTGAAAAGCTAGCTCATCCACATAGCCTTGGGATAGAGCCGATGATATGGGAATTGCTTGGAAATGATATTATCCAATCTCCCCTAACCTCATATCCGCCATGACGGCTACTGGAACCCCAAAAGACGAGTGAGGCTACACAAAGTCCGTATTAACACCGCCTCCGCCTATCTCCATGGTTCCTCATCCATGACGCATAGTAAGCTTACCTCGTTCGACGTACAAAAATGTCTCGAACCTTTTACCGTTCATTTCCAATCGCACATCACTGTTCCGGACGCGAGCGGATCAAAGGATGGACTTGTGCTAGTTCTTCCGTCCACACAACAGCTGGGCAGAGGCACAACAGCTTGGAAATCCCGCCGGCGAAGCCCGTGTAAGCTGATATAATGTTCGTCTCATCTCAGAAATCGCATGCCGAACGCAGCATTAGAAGCATCGTACAGCCAGAATGGACCCTAAAAGTGGAGTCGACGTCCTTGGAAGTGCAACAAGAACAGACTTTTGAGCCGCAGGCGGGCTGACGCCCAAGTCGGTTTGTGCCGCGCCCACATGAGGCACCGGCTTGGCGGAGTCGGGAATCTCACCATGCCCCCACGGCCAACTTTTGCTCGTGTCCAGTGGTAGGCACACGTTAGTGATGGCGTATGGGAGGCGCAGACTGTTCCGTATGCAGCCTTGATCCTGTCTTACTGATCATGAACGTTCGATGTAGTTGCCTAAGGTGGCAATGGTGGAACGCGCCTTCTAAGGCTGCTTGTGTGTTTGGCTATGTTTTGGGACGGCATTCTCGGGTATCTGGAAACTGCAGCATCTACCCGAGGCTCTTCAACAACAAGTGGATCTGTATATCTAGCAAGTCCTGCTCTTAATCGAGACACAATTCAAAAGGCATCGACAGGCCAGACAGATATTCATCTCCAGCAAACTCTTTCTCTTCTCTATCAAGTTCTTTACCATTGCTTGCATCATGCATCTCCTTGGTAGCATCCAGAGCCCCATCACCAGGTCCACCCTGGATGAGTCCAAGCTTCCCCGTGCCCCTCAGGCCGGGTTGGAAGTGACCGAAGAGATGACCGAGACTTCCAAGAAGATTTTGACCATCATCTTTGAGTACGCCCTAAACAAGTTCGATGACACGATGGACCGGCTCACTGCTGGTGTTCCTAAATTCGTCAAAGTCATTGAGCAATTTGTTGCGGCCGGGAAGCAAGTAGACATGTGTCTTCCAGCTTTTCCCTTCAAGTCGGCAAACAAGGTCTACAAGGTTCTCGGCAATCTTCCCGACAAAGCCGAAGAGCTGGCTCTTGAGCGCCTCAACACGATGTGCATTCGCGTTGGTGAAATCTACGCCCCAGGAGCTAAGCTGACTATCATCTCTGACGGTCTCGTTTACAATGGTCAGTCATCTCTGCTGACAATTTGCGTTGTCTCCTGTGAAACTGATGTGCTATGATGACAGATTTGCTGAGCATTCCGGATCGCGATACCTGGGCTTACGGCGAAGCGCTGCGGGCCATGGCAGTCGAAAAGGGGTTCACCTACATCGGCTTCTCCAGGCTTCGCGACCTGATGAACTTCCCAATGCCTGACAGGCTTGAGGAGATCCGCTACGTTGCCAACGCCACCAACTTCCGTCGCTATCTCCTGAACAAGTATGGCAAGGACGACCTGGACATCGACCAAGAAATCGCAAAGAACCCCGACACGCTGATGACCTATCGCGGTTATTGCCGATTCTTGGAATCTGACCTGCAGCATGTGTTCCCCACCGGCAAGGGCCGAACCAGCAACGGCTACAAGCGGGACGTGAAGTTCCTGGCCAAGCAAATGCTGATCCGAGGATATGTAAGCACACTTCTTTATCTCCTGCATAGAGTGGCTGGACTAGTCCATTGACCCATCATAGGCTTTCGCTGGCGCGGTCAAGGATGCTTTCCCCAATTACCTGCGTCTCTCCATCCACCAGTCCACCGGCGAGCATAAGGTTTCCATGAGCCTGCTCAACACTAAGACTGGGTTCACGACCCCGTGGCATTGCAGCGTTGCACTGATGGCGGATGGCGAGTGGACAAGTGCTCCGATGGGTGATTTCAAGAAGGACGCGAACATGGAGATTGTTTATGAGGATGGTCGTCCGAGTTACTTCAAGGAGAAGGCGCAAGTAGTTTGATCCTTCGGTGAAGACTCCTGGAGAACGCCGATGTCGTTACGATGGCCTGATAGAAGGGGATGATACCGGATTGGTTGTCTGTTTGAAAGATTGCTCATTATTAGATAGCTTCACAGCTCTGTCACAAGGACCAATAGAATTGCAGGGTCCAGCAGTTTCTTATACCAAGTTTCCCTGTCTTTGTGCCCTGTTGCCTGCTAGTATGCTTTGACACAGTGGATTCAGTCCTCTCTCGATTGATGTCTCTGAAATTTTGATGATTGATGTTTACGACAATTCGTAACTCTATCCCAATGGAGCCGTAACTTTCGAGTCCAAACCACGCACCTACAACGTTGCACGACCGGTTAACCCCCGTGCTCCGCTTTGCTTTGAGTCCTCGGAAATGTCACGTCTTCTTGATCTAGCCCCTTAAGTTCAGAAACAGACGCGTCTATGAAGGCATCTTGGCCACACGATCGGCTTTTCGCCGTTGGTATTAACGCATTCCGGTCTAGAGCTAGTCGTGATCCACCACAAAACGGTACTAGGGGAACACATTGCCGATACCCCGATTCCGAACCGATCATTTCACCCCTACTACATACTTTTCGGGCTTGCAGAGAAGCATTGCCAGTGGACAACAGGCCCCGCCGCCGTCGAATTTTGCCCTCTCTGATGTCGGGATACCGTGGGAAATTACCTACTTTTTCATTCTGCAAGAGGTTTATGCCATATTCACATAGTTGATGCGAGTCCGAGATTCCACCGCGAAGCTCACGTTGCATCAGATAAGTCTTCAGGCATCCATCTGCATGTCAGCCGCGCACCCGATCGACGTAACAAAGTCCCCCAGGCTGGGACTTCGCATGCCCAACACAGGCGGGTCGTGATGAGCTCGGACTTTTCAAGGATGAACGAAGGAAGGGATGGTCTAGACTATCGAAAGACGTTGTTGAGATTCCTCGAAGGGGAAAAGGCGGCTGAAGACTGTAGCTGAAATCTGAGAAAATCTTTGGCGATCCCCTCGAAATCGGAGCTGCTTCCGGAAACACCGAGCTTCCACATTGGTTAGATTTCAGCCTCTGTGGGGGAGTTCTGTCTAGCTCGCTGAGGAAACCTGATTTTTCGTCGCCCTCGAGCATTTTTCCCGATAAGTGGGCAGCATTTCTTTTTGTTCCTTTGAAGTTGACGCGCCTCGAGGAATTAGCTGGTGTCTTGGCTCGGCATTGCGCGAGACATCACACACCGACTGGCTGCAACTGGCAAGACCCCTGATTCGGGGATCCTTAGTCAGAAAGTCAATCCTCCAGCTGAGGATTGTCATTGGCCAAGACCCTGATATCATGTCCGAGAGAATGCCAACTGGGCGAAGAAATTCAGCGCATACCCTACCATTTACACCGAGCTTCCTACAATCCTTGTTCGATACTCAATCAACTGAAATTAACGAGAAAATAATCAGAAAATAGCTCTCATCTTCAGGATTAATTTGAATCCTTAATCACTATATTCTCTTGAGCAGAGTCGTGGTTGAGGCCAAACGGGCTATTGAGACCTGGGGAGTGTGCACTCTTTTTTTTCGCCCAGTTGAATGCTTATGTAAGGTTTGATATGACGCCAAGCGGGAGGGAGCCAATGGGTGGCTCGGCTTGCCATATGGAGCCCCTTCGGCGGGTCCAGACCCACACCCTACGCGAGCCTACTATCGAAACGGGGCTAGCGTATCCCCTGTCATCATCTCGACTCTTTTCCTTTTCCTGCCTGCCAAACGTCCACCCGCCTGTCATCGCGCATCAATCACTTCAGGTCGTCCGAACGTATTCAGTAGCGATCAGACGTGGACGCCTCTTGTCCTACCGCCCTCCTCGGTGCTAGCCGATATCAGTGATCGTAGCGAACGACCACGCCATTCGGATTGTGGGTTGGGCACGCCTTGAGGCCAACAAAGGCGGCCGCGACCTGCAACGGCCAGCCACCGTCAATGATCCAATTCGACCACCCTCCACGCTAAGAGCTGCAAGGACGCGGGGGTCCTCTGCCGATTTTAACGAGGCGAATGCCCCCGCCAAATTTCCGTTCGTCTGACAGCATCCGTTAGCATCTACCGGGCCGCGACGTTGACGACATCGACATCAACGGGACATATCAATCCGACTGCGCCGTCGCGTTCGTACCTCCTGGCCAGACTCTTCCACGAGAGACATGTTGCGGGAGTACCGCCGCGATGAACATTGTAAGACACCCCGATGCACGATCCCCCGGCCCGGCTTCCGACTGACCGAAAACAGCCCTCCGTCGATGGCTCGTCAGGTGATGGCCGAGTGGGATCCGCCCGGGACAACTCCACGGGCGGAACCCTCAGCAAACTCCAGATTGACGGCTCTGACTCGTCATCGTTGATGTCGCTTGTCAGCACTCTAATACCCGTGCTCATATACGCTGTCGTCTGTATCCTCGTCTTCTGGATCCTGCGACGCAGAAGTCATCGTGTCTACTCCCCGCGGACTATTCTAAGGAGTCTCTTCTCGCAGTACGAACCCATTTTCGCTCTATGTTGACATCACAACTGACATGTTCGTAGTGAACAAAGCATACCCCTGCCCAAGGGTTGGTTGGACTGGGTCAAACCCTTCTGGAGGGAACCCGACACCGCCATCCTGAATCGATCAACGCTGGATGCGTTCCTGTTCCTGCGCTACCTCAAGGTCCTCGCTTTGATATGCTTCGTTGGCTGCTGCATCACATGGCCAACGTTGATGTCCATTCATGCCAGCGGAGGTGG